TAATATACTTATTTTAATGGTGCAGTCCTGTCTTCCATCAACACCAGAAGATTTCAGCCATTTTCTCTCAAACAGTGCCCCTTCCACACTTTTCTGCTCTCCCCTGCAATTTTGTTCTCATCTCTCTCTCTTCTTGTTTCAGCCTCCGTGTCTCTGCTGAAGTCTGTGTAGTTTCAGTTATATCATTTTCCATGTTGCTGATTTTCTGTACTTTGGTTCAAGTAGAATCAAAGATGAACTAAGGTTCATCTTACTGAATGTTACTCATTGATACATACATGTAATTCTAGGCAATCTGTTCGACTCTCTTCAAATCTTTCCATTTTAATAGCTATTCCCTTTAGTCATACCTTACTTCCCGCTTTTGTTTTTAAATACGGGGTCCAGCAGAAGTACGGCCTGCTTGAGTGTGGTTGGTGGGGTAATAATATGGATGCAATAGTTTATAGTGTTAATCTGAACATTCCACCTAAAATGTCGTATAGTGCGCTTGAGTGTGATAGTGTCATATTACAGAATTATATGCTTAGTGTTTTGTAATAAGAGATTTTGTAATAAAAAAGGGGCATTAAGGTGCCAGCCCCCATGTATAAAATAAACTTGCACTGTACTATAAATCTTTTCCGCTGCTGCGAGACTGGGAGTCTGCCCCTCTGGGTTTGTTCGTTTCTGCCCACTGTCACTCACAGCACTTGGATTTCTTGTGTGTTGGAGGGCGTTGGTGGTGTGTTCATAGGTTAAACTTCATCCGTGGGAGCCCCCAGACCTCAAATGTGGGTGAGCCCTTCCAGAACGATTATGTGTGTCAGATCTGCCTGGGGGTCTGTGGACACAAAATGACGAGCTTTTTCAAGGGTCCTGGCTTAAGACAAGCGTGTGGGCAAGGGTGGGAAGACCAGACTGTGCCGTTCTGAAGGCCAGAATAAAAAGCCTGGGTTTGATCTAGGATCAATGACAGGCCTTAGGAGGTATGAGCAGGGGCCGATGTGCTCTTATTCGTGTTTTTCAAAGATCCTTCTAGTTGCTTTCTGGAGAGTGGCCAGCAGGAATGGAAGAGGTGACAGTGGTTAATGTGGCACATGCCACAAAGAGGAATCAAGGACGTTCCTGGCATGTGGCTTCAGTCTTGCTTTCATCTGAAGTGGTGACTGAGTTTATCTGTAAGGAAATTTGAGTTTAGCTTCTCTTTTCACAAAACCACTGATACTCTTCTCAGGCAAAACCCAGAAGCCCAGGCTGCGCAGTCATTACAGTACATCCTCTCTCCATCCTTGTCTTCCCCTCACTCTTGCTGAGGGGAACAGACTGCCCCCAGGTCACTGAGTTTTTCCGAGCCCCTGGTGAGGACACTGCTTCTGAAGGGCCCCCCCGCCCCTGTGCCTCACTCACAGGGGACCAGCATGTGGCCAGGCGAGAGGCATCGTGTTTACAGAGGGAGCGATTAAAAGACCTAATTCAGTAAATAAATTCCACCTTTTGGCACCCCAGTGGATAATTTTGACTTACCACTGTCTTAAATTTCATTAAATACCTCTTAAGAGTGCAGAAATGCAAACGTAGGTGGCAGGAACTGACTGTTTGCCAAGGTGCAAGGAGTCAACATGGGCAGCCGCAGGGTTTTTGAGCCGAGCATTTTTTATTGGTTTTCATAAGGGGGTTTAAGGTGCAAGGGAAAGTACACAGGAGATGGAAACAAGTCAGGAAGGATTACTGCAGTGAAGCTGCCAAGGGGGAGATCAGAGGCCTCCTCCAGCTAAGAAAGTGGCAAAACATGACACTTTTCCCTAGGAGCTGCCAAACTGAGCGAGGCCACAGCGTTTCAGCTTCCGCGGACACCCATGACCCAGTGGGGCCATGTCCCCAGGGCACTTCTCCTGGCTATGCCATGTTCCCAACAGTGCTCTTGGACTTGGAGAGCCCAGGCTTGTGTCCAGGCCCGGCCCCCAATTTTCAGTAAGTCGCCACCTCTGAACCTGCGAGAAAGTGTGACAGCACTTACCTGCCTACTTCCCAGGACTGTTCAGTGATAACAAACTTGCTAAAGTGCACACACTTGAGTGTGCATTGTAAAGCACTTTATAGACAAAGACCACTATTCATATTGTTCTTTATTTTCACCACTAAGAATACCTGCTCAGACTCTTGACCAATTAACCCAATAAGCCCAGGACAAAATGAACTGGGGGTTGCCCTGACCCGCCCCCAGGTTGGGGTAACAATAGCAGCTGGAACAATGGGTTCTTGGATTCAGACAAACTGGGAGACGGGACAGATGGACTCAGAGGTTCTGTAGGACAGCCCTCCTCCACCCCACCCACCCACCCAGGACTCCAGCACATAGGTCCACACAGCCGTCCTCCACTCCACCCCCTTCCCAGTGGGGCCCTTGGCTCTCCTGCTTCTCTCTGCTTCTCCAGAAAACACTTTTGGAACTTGCCTTAAGGTTGTCCCCTCTTTTCAGTCCATGTCTAGTTTGAATGACAGCTTTCCTGACATTATCTTTCTACTTTGCCAACATTCTCTGAGCTAGAACCTGCCCTGCAGCCCAAACGTGGGTCCTGGTATCACAGCCCCAAACTCAGGCTCTGCCAACTTCCAATCCAGACCCTCTCCTAGAGGCCTCCCCCAGCCCTGAAGTTGTCAAGGCCTCTCAGGACTGTGAGAGAAGTTTATCTACACACCTATCAGAGTGGCTAAGGTAAAAACCAGTGGCACCACCAAATGCAGGCGAGGACACAGAAATGGCAGTACTGGACACACAACTCTATACAGATGATAAAGTGGCATCAAACTACCCACACATGTACCAGGGTCAGCATCCTGGCTCTGGTTTAGTGTTGACTGAGTTACGGGGGGTAGGGGGGGGCTTAGACACTGGGGGCGCTGGGAGAGGAACCTGAGGCTGAACTGGTTCCTCTAACAGTTGTACTCGCTGCCATACTAAGTGTCCTGGGCAGAATAATGCCCCCAAGATGTCACAGCCTGGTCCTGGAACCTGTCAGTGTGGCCTCACCTAGCACAAGGGACTTTGCAGATGAGATTATGTTAAGGATTTTAAGGGGAGATGGCCCTAGATTGTCCAGTTGGCCCTAAATCAGGAAATTCAGGGTCCTTGGGAGAGAGGTGGAAGCGTCGGGGAGGAGGCTGGAGTCGGTGAGCTTGGAGGCTCTTCCAGCTTCTTGTCCTTGTGCCTGGTGCTGAGTTTGGGATCACAGTGGCATTTCCACAGGCATGCTGTTGCCCGGGTTTTGGTTTCACACTGCTTTGTGGTCAGGTTCATAGACCGTTGGGGCGCATTTCACCACATCACACCACGTTCATCTGGCATCCGTCCCGCCCCACTGAGCCCCATCTGGACCCTGATTCTGTGATCTGGTCTTCCCTCCTCCTGGCTGTAGGTCTGAGACACGAGCTGTGTGTGTTCATCCAGGACGCCAATGAGAGGGTGCCCAGGTGGGGTGTGGACAGGGCACCAGGCCGTACAGTGGGCACAGGCAGTACTAGAGCTGAGTACTAAGGCCCACCCACACGCAATCCTCCCCTCATCCCAGGCTGCCACCAAGAGCTGAGACCTGCACAGGAGCCATCAATCTAATCATTTGTTTAGACATCTGCTTGGGCTCAAGTCACACTCACTGGTCCAGAGTTTGAGGAATTCCATGTCCCCCTTTTGCTCAGATGTCTCCTCTTCAGTGTTTTCTGTAATCACTCATGGACTAGGAGCCGCAGTGGGCAGCACTGCAGGGCAGCTCCGGGCCACAGTCCGGCCAGGACTCCTGGCCCGCTCCCTGGGAGGAACCCAGGGTCCCCTTACTATGTACATTGTTGCAGATCTGATGTCAGTCTCTTACTCATCATCCTCCAGTGAACGAATGAATGGTGCATCAGCATCCTTTGGCTCCTGGCACAGAATCCGCTCTGTCCAGAAACTTCTGAGTGTAAGGCGAAGCCCATCCAAGCCCTCCCAGAAGACCTGGAATGGGATTTTGTAGTTTTATTGTATGTTAAGTCAACAGTGCCACTTTTTTTCTTGGAGCATTTATCATGTCTTATGAGGCAATGATTTAAGACCATCCATCACACACCTCAGAGACAGAACAAACAAAGCCGAGTTCCTGGATGACTCTGGATGTGAGTAATTCCATTCGAGCTGGGAGGTTACCTCACCGTGGACATGGTATTAGTCACACACCTGTCATTTTCAGCCCCTGTTCTCTTTCTTTCTTTTTTATTGTTTCTACCAGAGTAACTTCATTATTTGAAAAGAACAAATTTCCTAAAGCAACCCAAGATTCTCTAGCCACACAAAGAAACAAGCACTCACTCCCAGGACCTTTAGAACAGCAATCCACCCCCAGGATTACCAAGCAGCAGATACCCCGAGGGCATGGTAAATGGGAAACACCTTCTGTCTGTCAAGGGAGAGAGAGCAGAGCAGAGGCTTATTGAAATGCTAAGGCTGTGAATGAATAAAAGCAATTTCCTGATCAAATTTCTTATGGCTGTGAAAGGTTAACATTTGTTCAGCCATTCAGTGTTTGCCAAAGCCTCCCCAGACCTGGAAGCTTCCCCATGTCTTAGTGATGCAAATGTGAACATCCCGAAGTGTCTGGGTTGGGGGGGTCTCGTTAGGGTGACTCTGAACTGTGTGGTTGGTGCAACCAGCCAACCCTTGTCAAAACTATTCTGTCTCTGGGGAGGGGTGAAGGGTTGGGGAGGGTCTCTGTCACTGGGTGGGAAGGCAGGACTTCTGGTTCTTTCTGGGGATGAAAAGCTGTAGGCTGGTCCCCCAGCCTGTCCAGGCTCACCTTCCACCCTCTGGCTTGGAGGGCACAGAGGTCTCAGAGCTCAGACATTAAGGGACCAGGCAGGAGTGAGGAACCCACAGATTGTGCCATGCAGGAAAACTGGCTCCACTTTCTCCCCTTTCCTGGCAGACCCACCAGATGCATGATTAATAAATAGGGAATTGATTTTAGGGATTTTTGGTTTATGGTCAGGACAAGAGAAGCCTAAGAAACCAAACAAAATCTACAGTTCTGGGTCAAGGAGACCAAGTCAGCGTTTGAGTACTGTTGCTGCCCACTGCCCACATCGAAGAAAGTTCCAGGAGTACCACTGGGTGCCCATTGAGGATGCACCCGGCCTTCGATGCCTCCCAGGCCTGCCTGACAGGAGCGATGGGGTCCATTCTCTCCTTTGTACATTATGTATCATCCTGCTCCTTCCAAACCCCTCTACTGGACCCCAGCACAGCCCTCTGTACCAGAGTCACATCTCATGTAAGAAAATGACAAACCGGAAAGACCCTTTGCCCAGGAGGTACACAGTGCACCAGATCCCCCAGGGCCCCTTTTACTCCCAGAGTCTCTTCGCCCCATCCTCCCTGCGGGGCTCGCATCGCACGAGTGGGGAAACTGCCAGGTGCAGCTGCGTAGTGGGGATACCACTGCTCTCTTTGGCACGTGAGGCCAATGCCCGGACTCCCCACCCTGGGAGGGAGGGAAGGTAAAGGCACAAGCACCTATCGCACTCGACCCCGCCCTTTCGACCTGAACGGGTTCCGCCCCTCCTTCCCGCAGCCACGCCTTCTCCGCTGGGACCCCGCAGTCCCCGCCTCTTCCTTCTCATAGGCCGCCCTCCCCTGGGACCCCTCCGCGCCGTGCGTGCGGTAGCATCCGGTCAGGTACGTAGGAGCCCAACCCTTCCCCAGCAATGCCGCGTGCGCCCCGGTGCCGCGCAGTGCGTGCTCTGTTGCGCAGCTGCTACCGAGAGGTGCTGCCTCTGGACACCTTCCTGCGGCGACTGGGTCCTGAGGGTCGGCGCCTCGTGCAGCGTGGGGACCCAACGGCCTTTCGCGCGCTGGTGGCCCAGTGCCTGGTATGTGTGCCCTGGGACGCACAGCCGCCTCCCGCCACCCCAGACTTCCGCCAGGTGAGTTTCCCGGGGGGACCCCATCAGGCCTGCTGGGTGGGATGAGGGCCATAGTTCGGAATAAGGCCAGACACCACTGCGCTTGGGCTCCCAACGACTCGGAACCTCTCCCCTGCAGGTGTCCTGCCTGAAGGAGCTGGTGGCCAGGGTCTTGCAGAGACTCTGCGAGCGTGGTGCAAGGAACGTGCTGGCCTTTGGCTTTGCGCTGCTGGACGGGGCCCACAGCGGCCCCCCCATGGTCTTCACAACCAATGTGTGCAGCTACCTGCCCAATACAGTGACCGAGACGCTGCGAGGCAGTGGTGCGTGGGGGCTGCTTCTGCGCCGCGTGGGTGATGACGTGCTCACCTACCTGCTGGCACGCTGCGCACTCTACTTGCTGGTGGCCCCGAGCTGCGCCTACCAGGTTTGCGGGCCACCGCTCTATGACCTCTGCACCACAAGACACAAAAATGGGAGCCTGGTGGGCCTCGGACCCACGCTCCGGGCCTGGAATGGTGGTGACGGGGAGGCCGGTGTACCCCTGGGCTGCCGCTCCAGGCGGCGGCGGCGGAGCCACGCAGGGGAAATTCCACCACAGGCCAAGAGGCCCAGGCATGACCTGATCCCGGAGCTGGTGTGGGGGCCGAGTGCCAGCGACTTACACGCAGTGACACCTACCAGAGCCGCCGCGGAAGCCATTTCTGGGAAGGGCGAGCCGCCCAGGACCCAGCGTCCCTTACCACTGCAGGGCCGTGAACACGAGGCTGGCTGCCCATCTTCTCTGCCGTTAAGTCCCCAGGCCTCTTCCAGTTCCGCAGTGGTCGCTGAAACCAAGCAGTTTCTCTACCGCACTGGTAGCAAGGAAGGGCTGTGCTCCTCCTTCCTGCTCAACTCCTTGCAGCCCAGTCTGACTGGGGCCCGGAGACTCGTGGAAACCATCTTTCTGGATTTGAAGCCCCTGCAGCCTGGGGCTTTCCGCAGGAGGCGCCGCCTGCCCGCGCGTTACTGGCAGATGAGGCCTCTGTTTCGGGATCTGCTTAGGAACCATGCGCGCTGCCCCTATGGCGTGCTGTTAAGGAAGCACTGCCCGCTGCGGGAGGCGGCCGCCGCAGAGGCGGTGGGGTCCGGCGACAAGGGGTGCGGGGGTGTGGGCATCGGCACCCCGAAGGACACTGGCCCGCGGTGCCTAGGCCAGCTCCTTCACCAGCACAGCAGCCCGAGGCACGTGTACGAGTTCCTGCGGGCCTGTCTTCTCCGGCTGGTGCCACCCGGGCTCTGGGGTTCCAGGCACAATGAGCGCCGCTTCTTGAAAACCGTGAAGAAATTCACCTTTCTGGGGAAGTACGCCAAGCTCTCGCATCAGGAGCTGACCTGGAAGATGAAAGTGCAGGACTGCATCTGGCTGTGCAGAAGCCCAGGTGAGCAAGTGGGTGTCATGGCCTTGCAGGCCCAGGCCTGGCAGTGAGCAAATCAGTCACATGGAATAGGGCTGTGGCAACAGGACGGAAGCATCTGGAAGCTCTCATGAGTATTCTTGAACCTTATTCAAGATCCCTTTTTTGACCTCCGTGGTATCACCGTGAAATAGTGCCCCGCTGATAGAAACAGAGGTTGGGAACTAGACCCTTTGCTGGGGTATGAGAGATAAGGCTCCAGCTTCCCTGATGCAACATGCAGATCCAAGCTGAAGGTTTAATGGTGCAGCTGCTGTGCCAGGGCAGGGCAGCTGAACAAGGGAAAAGACCGTCTCCTGCCCAAGGACCCCTAGCCTCATCTTTAGGAAGGAAAGGATCACCAGGGAGCAGAGGGGGCAGCAGGATGGTCTCCTGTGCCAGGGAAGTGGACCGATGCTGTGCATGCTTATAGGGCATCTTCTGCCCAGCTGGCCTGTGGTGTCCCTCCCTCTAGGTACTTTGGTTTTCTGGGCTTGATGATGAGGTTCCTCCAGTCCAGCCCCTAGGCTCCTCATCTGCACACCAGCACCAGGAGTGCACAGGACCAGCCACCCTCCCTGCCTCCTGTGATGGAGGAGCAGCAGTGAGAACAGGCCCAAGGTTTGCTCTCGACCTCCCCCAACTCCCAAGACATTTAGGACTTTTAGAAGAAAAATGGTTCAGAGCCCTCTGTTGCAGCCAGGCTTGCCCACCCAGATGCATGGTGCAGCCTCCCGAGGTGGGGGCCTTAAAAACTCCCGTCCCCATCCCCAAAGATCCCGATTGCAACAGTGTCAGGCAATGGGGCACGCCTTCTCAGTCTCCCAAGCAACCCCAGGGTCAGGTGATTAGACAGCAAGGTGACCTTCCAGCAACTTGGTTTTTGTTTCATTTCATTTTAATTGTGGAAAACATACCATGAGCTCTACCTCATACCCGCTCTTTGCATGACGAGGACAACCTTGCTGAGCGTGGGCAGGGCTGCACGGCAGGCCTCTAGAACTAGACTGTGTGACTCGTGCCCACAGACCACGTGGGCAGGGTGGGGGACCCTGAAACAAGCCAGGCTCAGTTACGTTAGCTGTCACACAACTCATTTTACTCCGGGCTCCAGCTTGCCTTGTGAGTGTTTGACTTCTGTGGCTGTTCCCAATTTCCAACAAGGCCCTCCCCCAAGGAGTGTGTCCACAGGCTACTGGGACCTCTGCATTAGCTTCTCCCCATGCATTAGCTTCTTTCCGTGGCTGGGCCACACCAGTTACCCCCGGCTGAGTCACTGATGCACGGGACAGCCTTGGCCTCTGAGCCACCTCTCTGATCACAGCGGTCTGTGGTCACCTCTTCTACCCTGTCCTCCTGGGACGGCCCTTCTGTCTAACCAGCCTTGACCATTGTCCCGCCTGCCATGCTGCCTGTTGACTCCCATCAGCAGCCTGGTCACCCGCCCCAGAGGCCAGACTGCCAGGCTGAGCACATCTGCTACAAAAACATCTCCAGATTCCTGATGGAAGCGCGGGAGCTGCCATGGCTCCTTGCTTACCCACTCGCTACCCCTCCCTGGGCTGTCTTTGGGCTGGCGGCAACCCTTCCCCTAACCTGGGCGTACGCTGCTGCTGGCTTCGGTTGTGCTTTGCCTTGGACTCACATCCGACCACAGGATCACTTTTCCTGAACTGCCCTCCGAGTGTATCCCTCCTGCCAAGTTTTTTACCTTCAGAGTGGAGCCTGGGTGGAGCTTTTCCTGGGGCTTTGTTCTGAACTCCGCCAGTTTCTCTGATGGTTGTGCCCTTCTGCTCTCGGGCTTGTTCTGTCCGCCTCTGACCTCTCAGGTGGGTCTGGCTGTGCGTTTCCTGTGGTCCTGCTTCACTGCACCTTGTTCGGGCTGCCCACGTTTTCATATCAACTACGTCGAAGTAGTTTGTAGTTTCTTCTGTCATTTCTTTGATCAGTGAGCTTTTTAGATTTCCCAAATGAATGATTCTAAGTTGTCTTTTTGTTACTGATTTCCAGCTGAGGTTGTAGTGTTCTGAGTGTCCTCAGTTGTTGGGCACTTGCTTTGTGATCAGGTGCACGGACAGTCTTCACCAGGGTCCCTGGTGTCCTGGAGGGGCCCCGGTTGGTGGCTGTGTGTACCGTATCAGACTTGTTACGTGCTACGAGGAACGCGTGCATCCTTCCGAGTGCCGAGCGGGGCTGGCGTGTCTCACTCGGGCCGTGTGTCCAGCTGCCCCTGTTCTGACATGTGTGCGTGGTGTTACTAGGTACGTGCTGGTTTGAAGGTCTGCTAATTCTTACTACTTTAAAGTCTATTTTAACAGATTTGAGAACAGCTGCACCGGCTTCCTTTTGGTTAGTGTTTACCTCTCGTGTCATTTGTCATTTCTTTGATTTTTATTTTCCACCTTTTCATATTTTCATAGTTTAGATATATTGTTTTAATAGCATATCGCTGACATTTTAAGTTTGTTTTTGATCCAGTGTGACGCTTTGCCACTCTCCTGGAGAATCTGATTTAATTTTTCTTATATTCTCTGCTCTCTTTCCTTAGTGGTTCCCTTCTCCTGAGCAGCACAAGGGCCTTAGCATATTTTAACCTGGTGACTACCCCAGTTTGTATGCTGATGCCCTGGTTGTGTTTCAAATCAGACACTGTTACTCTTTCCCACAGTTCCTCTGTATTTAGCTTCACTGTCTCTCCTTTGTTCTCCAACCTGTCTGCTGTCCCAGACCTGCCTCTGGGTCCTTTTTCTCTCCTTTACATATTTCTGTTTGTGCTGTGGCTTTTGCGGCAGCCAGGTGACACCCACGGCTCTCTTCCCGTGACATTTCACAGAATAAAATGCCCACAGAGGTGGATGGCAGTCTTGATGTATGCTCAGCGTCCCACGGCATGTGGCATCCCCGAGCTGGCATGTGACTGCCACCACGCACCGGGCTGTCCAGCCCGAAGAACCCCAGGTGTGTCTGAATTTGCTGCGCAGTGAGGATGCCTGAAATCGTGTCCCTGCATCCTCCGTTCTGCTTGTCCACCAGGACAAATGGTGGCGCTTCACATCATCACTGCCCAGCAGAAATGGGACGTGCGCCACATGTATAAGTTAAAATGTCCTCGTACCACGTTAAAAAAAAGTGAGAAGCAAGAGTAAAACCGATTTAACAATGCATTTTATTGAAGTCCAGTATGTCCAGAACATTGCCACTTCCACATACAGTCAGTCAGTAGGTACGTCACTGCTGAGGCGCTCCGTGTTCATTCTCTGCCCAAGTCCGCGGGATCCAGTGGGTGGGGCACGAGTGCTGCACATCCAGCCCAGACTTGCCATCTCATGCAGCCGTGGCTGCCGTGATGGGCCACGCAGGCGGGCTGAGCACGTGCCTCTCATTCCAGGGGGCCGCTCTGTCCCGGCCGCAGAACACCGTCTGAGAGAAGCGGTCCTGGCCAAGTTTCTGTGCTGGTTGATGGGCACATATGTGGTTGAGCTGCTGAAGTCTTTTTTTTATGTCACGGAGACCACATTTCAGAAGAACCAGCTCTTTTTCTTCCGGAAGAGTGTCTGGAGCCAACTGCAAAGCATTGGGATCAGGTATCACAGAGCACGGAGTGACCCGTTTTACCCATCTGCAGACGCAGTGCTTTCCTTCCTCTGAGCCCCCCGTCCCCCCTCCCCTTCACCCTGGGGCTCCTCACCCAGCTACTCCAGGGGCCACCCTGGCCTCTAGGGTTTCTGTGCTGGCAGGGACTCCCAGAGTTCTCCTTACCTGTGGCATCGGGGGCTTGAGCTAGGGTGATCTCTAGGTTCTCAGACCTGGGAAACATGGCACCAGAAAGCCACTTACCCCTGGTGTGTGGTCAGATTCTATTTTAATTTGCACAGAATGATTGGGACTTGTGTCACGAGATAATGAAGCCCACCTTTTTAACAACTCACTGGGAAGATTCTGGGGGTGGAGATGTCTTGCTATGAGGCAGGACCCTGAGGTGGAAACTTCCAGGAGATTGGCTTGCCTCTGAGTGGATTTGCCTCAGCTGCTCGGCAGCTCTTTTGGGTACATGATGCAGGACGGTGGCAGACATTAGCTGGGTGGGGATCCGTCAGGGCTAGGGGCATGAAGGCCTGACACCCAAGCCCTCCTCTCTATGGGTGAGCCTGGCCAAGGTGCCCTGTGTCCTCAGAGGGCTTAGCAAGGACCCTGAAGTGACCAGATCAGGGTTCCCATGCTTTATGCACAGTTGGGTTAAATCCTGCCCTGAGCCACACATCTCTGAAGGGAGGCAGTGACTCCTGAACCAGGGGCCCAGTCCCAGTCCTCCGGTGCCTGAGAGAGGGACTGGAAGCTGTTGTCATGGGTCTGAGTGGAGGTACAGTATGTCCTATTTAATAATTTTTAAAATCTATGACCTGTGATCCAAAGTGTTCATTTAGACCCTCACCGTGGGGACCATCGCCCTGCTGGTTGGGTGTTCAAGTCTCAGGATGGGCTGCACTTGCCAACCTTCCTTCACTGCTGGGGCCACAGCCCAGGGAGCATTCTGGGCCCCGGACCCTTCCTGTGGCTGGTCTCTGGGAAAAGACTGGCAGGGAGCTGGGAGGTGCCCAGGGAGTAACTGCTGGCACGTGTGGGGTTGCACGAAGTAACTCCCCTGCACCTTCCACGTGGCAGAACATGCGGTCCTCCCAGTGGTTCTGTCCAGTCCCGGCCTGCAGTACCCTGGTTTCCAGAGGGAACCAGTGTCCTGGGCCCCTCCCCGGAGGGTGTTCCAGCAGCGTCTGGTCAGCGTGCTGGGGTAGCCCCATCGGCATGGGTGCCTTCACAGGTGGACCCGCCTCGGCTCTCCTTTGGCCACCGACCAGTGTCCCACGAGGGTCTCTGTTTCAGACAGCACTTTGATAGGGTGCAGCTTCGCCAACTGTCAGCAGCCGAGGTCAGGAGACATCAGGACGCCAGACCCGCTGTGCTGATGTCCAGACTCCGCTTCCTCCCCAAGCCCGGCGGACTGCGGCCGATTGTGAACATGGACTACGTTGTGGGGGCCAGAGCGTTCCGCAGGGACAAGAAGGTGACCCCGTTTGTCTCGTTTTTTAAACAAACTGCATTTAAACCCCAGGCTTGGTGTTCGGGCAGACAGCCCAGGGGGACCACGGACAGGCCAGAGGAGGGTCCAGAGGAGGCCCTCGCAGGAAGGCCAGCCCTAGAAGCTGCTGAACAGGCTCTGAGGACCCACAAGGTTCTCATGAGATGGACCCATGACACAAAGGACTGACGTGGTGCCCGTGGTCCTGCTGTAGCACCAGGGATGCATGCTCCCCACGATGCAGGAACGGAAAGAACTAGGCCAGTCAGCCTCCGCTCCGGGTTCCCAGGCCCCCCGAAGGACCCCACCCTGTGGTTAGCACCCCCTTCCTCCTGCAGCATGACTGCATCACCAGCAGGTCCAATGCCTCCCTGGAGCATTTGGGAGTGATTGTGCCCCCCAAAAGAAAGGAACGCTGTGTGTGTGGATTAGGGGTCTGATTTGGTCTGTGAGTGAAGACGAATTCCCCATCTGTGGGGGGGAGTCCCCAGGAGGAAGCGCACCTTTCCATCCGCAGTGAGGTGGGAGCCGGTGGGAGACATGGTCCTGCAGGCAGCTACTCAGCAGTATTTCATGCTGCGTTTCTGGATTGCAGGCTGGGTCTCTGGGGATGCCCCAGGGCCTTGTGATGGGCGTGGGTGAATCGATCATTTCGCCCTTCCAACATGTGAAGGAAGCTGTGGGGTAGGGGTGCTGAAGCAGAGGTTCCCCGTGTCCCTGGGCCCCACAGGTGGGATGAGGCAGTCGGGCCCCGGGTCCCCTTGGCAGGGACACCCTTTGATGATGCTGCCATCCTGACTGGCCCTGCAGGTGCAACATCTCTCCTCGAAAGTCAAGACGCTGTTCAGCGTGCTCAACTACGAGCGCATGCAGCGCCCTGGCCTCCTGGGTGCCTCACTGCTGGGCATGGATGACATCTATAGGGCCTGGCGCACCTTCGTGCTGCGTGTGCGGGCCCAGGACCCAGCACCTCAGCTGTACTTTGTCAAGGTGGGTGCCCCCCACCCCCAGTGAGGTCACTCAGCACCCTCAGGCTCACCCACCCAGTGGCTCCATACTTTGGGCTCTGGCCAGGTTGTTGGACGTGGCCCCCTCCCCAGGGCCCGTGTCTGCCAGGGTGAGGTGCCTGTGGTGGAGCTGTAGACTTTTGGGAGCAGGGAGGGCAGGCGACCTCATCTTCGTTTGGCAGCACCTGGCTCCCGGGGGCAGAAGCTCTGAGCCTTCCCTGCTGGCATGGACTCCGATGTTCCACATCCTAACTCCACAGGGGCCCCTGCCCTTGGGGAGAATATGCCACCACCACCTGCTTGGGGTGTGGGGGATCTCCCTGAGAAGGAGTGCACCCGGCTCAGTCTATAAAGCCAGGGGCCCTAGAGCTCTGGCCATCCAGCAGGGACCTCCTCCTCATCAGCCTGCACTCAGAGACATGGGCCCCCCGGAATGTCCCAGTCTGGGGGGTGGAGAAAAGAACCCAGAGCCACCCTGCAGTGCTCAGTCTGGGGGAAATGGGGGCATCTCAGCAAGAGCCCCACAGTGGGGCAAGTGTGTATGGCAGGGGGGCAGGCTCTGGGAAGGGTATTCAGGGGCTTCCTGGCTCCACCATATCTTATCACCCCCGGGATTTTCTAAGGACAGCCTGGGGCCTAGATTTGGCAGGACAGAGCAGGTGGGACCCAGGATGCGGGAGGCCAAGGTAGGTGTGTGAGCAGCCTGTGAACACACCTCCATCCACGTAGGTGGACGTGATGGGTGCCTACGACACCCTTCCTCAGAGCAGGCTGGTGGAGGTGATTGCCAACGTGATCAAGCCCCAAGAACACACGTACTGCCTCCGCCAGTACGCCATGGTCCAGAGAACCACACGTGGGCACGTCCGGAAGTCCTTCAAAAGACACGTAAGTCCCTTGGGTGTGTGCCATGAGGAAGTGTATCCGTGACATGGATGTGGCCCCGGCAGTCTGGCCATCCCCCATGGGTGCTGAGTGGTGCTTCCTGTGCTCGCAGTGCTGGGAGGTGCCTCTGTCCTCGTCCTCCTCACACTCTGGTGCATGTCACATTCAGTCCTCTCTCCAAGCCTCTCCTGCCTGTTGTCCCTTCAGAAGGCCCCTGGCTTTGTGCAAGGAGGTGGCACCAGAGCCATGCGTGTGTTTCTTTGGGGTCCCCGTGGCTGCCCCCCGGATCCCATGCCTGTCATGCGCAGTCATCAGGAGCCTGTTGGAGAGTGAGGGCACCATCCCCCCATAACTGCACCATAGGGAAGGCAGAAGGGTGCAGGAGTTCCCCCCAAAATTTTTGGGAAAGGCACACCTGAAAACCCCTGGGCAAGTCAGATGAGTGTAGATTGCAAATCCCGAGTGGACAGCTCAGTGAAATTGTGCATCTGTGGGTGGATGGTGCTGCCACCTGTGCCCAGGCGCAGAGAGTCACCCCCACCCGGAGGCTCCCCCTTTGCCCCAGGTGCCCGCCACTCTGACCTCCATCTTGCCGACTCGCTAACCTGTCTCAAATTCCATGAACAAGACTCATACCCAACACCCTTCCTACCTGGTTTCTATTGCTCCCCAACAAGTCCGAGAAGCAGCTGACGCTGTGAGCGTCACTGTCAGGTGTCATCTGGTGGGTTCGGGGTGGAGTTGCCAGGTCACAGGCATGCTTTGTTTAGTCTCAGACATTGCCAGAGGAATGTTCCTGAGCGGCTGTGCCAGAGTGGCCGTGAAGTGCTGGACCCTGCTGCACGGCCACAGGCCAGGCCTGGGCTCCCGGAGGACAGCATTGGACACCAAAGTGGAACGGCACAGGAGGGCCAGACATGCTCGTGCTCGCACACTTGCAGGTGCCAGCACTTAGGCGTAGCCTGAACTTCCTGAGGGTGGGCACAGCACCCTACACCCAGCTCTCTTTGACACTAGGTGTCCACCTTCACGGACCTCCAGCCTTACATGAAACAGTTTGTGCAACAACTGCAGAAGACAAGCTCGCTGAGGGACACTGTAGTCATCGAGCAGGTCAGCACGGGCAGACGCCCAACACACCGCTGGGGGCAGGGCCATGGGCAAGCCGAAGCCACCCTTGTCAGCCAGCGGAGGCTTGTTCTGCCTTCAGCCCTCTCGCTGAATTCTCTGCTGCTGTCCAGCTTCTTTGTTAAGATTTGCTAGAGGCATCTTCTCCTTCAGTTCTGATCTGGAGGCCAAAAGAAAACATGTCCTTTCCTTTAGGAAGACACGTTGGATTCGACCCATAGATCTACCTGGAGTTGACCCATGGGTGGGAAGCACATTTTTCTTGTGTGTGAGCAGAGGCTGTTGCTGAGTTTGTGGCTTTATGCAGAACCAGTTTTAGGTTGAACCAATCCTTCAAGTATGGCTGTAAGACCTCCAGATGTCTTTTGGCCACCAGAGCCCCACCACGTGCCACAGCAGCAGTGAGTGGCACAAGCCATCTGGGCCAGTGGCCGTGGGTCTGAGCCCAGCCAGAGCCACAGATTACCCATGCTGTCCCCACTCATCTGCCTCCCGCTCCTTCTGCCCCTGCCCATCTCTTGCTCAAGTGTCCGCTCGCTCACACACATCTCCCACTTGCTTTTCCAGAGCTGCTCTCTGAATGAGGCCAGCAGCAGCCTGTTCGACTTCTTCCTGCATCTGGTGCGCAACCACGTCATAAGGATTGGGGGCAAGTGAGTCAGGACTGCCTGCTGCCTCTTGGTGAAGAGGGGTCACGCCCCATTTGGACAGTCTGTGGTGGGGTTTTGTGGGCAGGTGTGGCAGATCGAGATTCACCTCCCTCCCCAAGCAGGGTGGCGTGTGCTCTGTGTTCACTGTGTGGTATGCACATGTGCATGTGGTCTGAGCGTTGTGTGTGCATGTGTGTGTGTGGTCTGCACACACGTCTGAACACGTGCTCCACCCTTCCGCCCATGTCTTCCCCCAGGTTTTACGTCCAGTGTCAGGGGATCCCCCAGGGCTCCATCCTGTCCACCCTGCTGTGCAGCTTATGCTATGGAGACATGGAGAGCAGGGTGTTCCCCGGGCTGCAGCAGGACGGGTAACGGGGTCCCTGTCATTTGTCCCCTTGATCACCTTTGCCCCCTCTTGTGCTCTGGTGCAGACAGGGCTGCCTGTCCATCATGGGAGGTTTCCCCAGAGATAGTGAGCCGGCCTCACATGTGGGCTGTGAGTGGCTCTCAGTGCACCAGGGAGTGAGGCATTTCCAGGGGACCCAGCCGGTGGCTGTGCTGGCCTGACTGTGGGGCCCTGTCCTCCGTTCCCAGCCAGAACTGAGTCCCACGGGTTATTTGTTCTTGTGCATGTGAACTCAGGTCTATCTAACACCCTTTCTCGGGCATCTTTGCCTGTCAGAGTGCTCCTGCGTTTGGTGGACGACTTCTTGCTGGTCACTCCTCACCTGACACAAGCGAAAGCCTTTCTCAGGTAAGGGCCTGCATACATGTGGGCCTCAACAGGTGCTTCTGTGGCCTCATGCAGCCCGCCTTGCTCCCCTAAGAATTCATTTTCATCTGATGCCCCGTGTCCCAGCATCTCTGCTGAGGGCACGTGGCACAGTCATGCTGTTCTGAGAACCTGGGTGTGCAGAGCAGGAGCCTGGAGCTGACCGTGGCACCAGGACACAGGTGTCCCCAGAGGGAGAGAGCAGGAGGGGGTCTGGCATCTGGGCTGGGCTGAGCTCTCGGAGGCTCCTTGGAAGTGACGCACACACTCTGCACCGGACAGTGCAGGGAGTGACAACACCTTCTCTGGGGCTGTGCCAGTGAAGGGGGAGCAGGAGTCAGCCCTGCCTGCCTGTCTGCAGCTTCTAAAATGGAGTCACTCTTCTCTGTGGCAGGCATTGGGAGAGAGAGAGAGCGGAGAGCGGGGGCTTGCTAAATGCACAGGATCACCTGGGGCGTTGGTGTTGAAGTTCATTTTGTTCAAACTTACGTCTCACAGACAGGGTCCTTGCCTTATAGGAGGGATGGCCTGCAGAGTGGTATCCCTTCTTGGACCCCGGGAATCTGGGGCCTGTTTTGCAGTGTGCTTTTCCAAGGGAGGAGAGTGACAAAGCCAAACTCTGAGAAGTGCCTGTGCCCGAGGGCCAGTTTGCTTTGGGTGCAGGGTTGTCTTTGGAGAGCCCTGCTGATGGTGTCCCCGTACCCCATGTCTGCCCCAGGGGATCCTCAGGGGTCAGAGGGCCTGCAGGGCTGCATAAAACCCTGCTGGGCATGTGCTGGCCCCCCCTGCCACACACAGCAGCCTCACACAGGATAATGGGCACATGTAAATTAGTCAAAGTTAAGTCACGTGACAGATCCAGCTCCTGGCCAAATTCAAAGACATCAGTGACCACACGTGGCCAGTGGCTGCCAGAGGGGACAGTGCAGACAGAGTGGGGCCTTCTTCGTGGAGTGTCTGTGGGACACCACTGCACTGAGGGTGTTTGGCAGGGAGGTGGACCAGAGTGTGTCCATTGGGTTCCCATTGGGAGCTGGCTAGCTGGGGACATATAGAGTTATTGCAAGGAGTCAGCCCATGTGATGGCGGGGGCTGGCAAGCTGAGTCTGAAATCCATGGGCTGCACAGGAAGGGCAGGAGCTCAGGCTGCCGTCCACCAGAGGACTCCCCCTTCTCAGAACACCCCGGTTCTGCTCATGGGTCCTGCGACTGATGGGTGTGCCACCTCACTATGGAAGGTAATCTTTACAGCTGGCTGAATGTAGGTGTGTTGGCCTCTTCTACAAACACCCCAGCACACCTGGGAACTTCGGTCTCTGAGTGGGCCCAATTGGCCACTGCAGAGAGGAAGTGTGTCATCCATGGGCCCTGCATGCCCGCCCACCTGGCCTTTCTCAGTTCTCAGCTGGGAACCTAAGCCCATTGCTCACCTATCTTAGCTATGAATAGGGTCATGCGGAGTCCACTTGGCCTTCAGGGTTCAGCCCCATGTTCCCCTCTCCTACTACCGGCCTCTGCCCTTCCTGGGGGCTGCCCTGTTCTCTGATCTTTAACAGTGATCACCCAGAGCTTTGGGAGCACCTGCAGTCCGATGTGGTGCAGCTGCCCTTCAGGGCCAGCTCTTGCTCCCTCTGCCTCTCAGGGTTTTACGTGGCACTGAGCTAGTGCTTCGAGATCCTGAGTGGCATCTCTCCTCCCGGTGGCCGATGTGGCCTCCCTGCTTTAGGACCCTGGTCAAGGGCGTGCCCGAGTATGGCTGCATAGCGAACTTGCGGAAGACAGTAGTGAACTTCCCTGTGGAAGATGACGTCCTAGGCGGTGCAGCCCCCCTGCAGCTGCCGGCCCACTGCCTGTTCCCCTGGTGTGGCTTGCTGCTGGACACACAGACCCTGGAGGTGTTCTGCGACTACTCCAGGTAAGTGCGCCCAGCCAGGTGTACCAGGCTGGTCTAGTCCTGATCCTGCTTCTGTCCCGATCCAACACGTGCCTGTGGTCCCAAAAGGTCAGACTTTACGGTGCCTTCTCCCCCTCAAGAGGGGGCCAGAGTGTGTCCTTGTGTGGGTTGAAGGGACTTGCCAGGTAAGCAGCTGTCTGGAGTGTTTTTCATAAAAGGAAATGGTGTGGCTGGCGCAACCCCAGCATGTAGGGAAGTGGTACAGATCGGAACCCCAAGATTTCAGGTCCTGCTGGACATGGTCTTTTCACAGTGAGGGCACACACTCTTACTGCCTGTCAGTGGCCGGACTGGATATCATGAGTTCATGGCCACCTTTGATTTACCAGGGACACTGGGCTATGGCACGCGGGGCCTGCTCTGTACACAATCCTGTGGGTCCCTGTGTGGTTGGTTAGCTCAGGCCATCATACAAAATACCACAGACAGGACAGCTTCAATCACAGACATTCTCTCCCAGTCCTAGAGGCCGGAAGTCTGAGGTGCAGGTCTAGACAGGGCCAGTTCGCCCTGAGACCTCTCCTCGAGGTGTAGACAGTCTTCCCCGTGTCCTCACGTGGCCGTCCTGCATTCAGGCATCTCTGGTGTCTCTCACTTCTGAGAAGGACACCGGTCACCTTGGATTGGGTCCCACTGTAATGTCCTCATTTAACTAAGTTACCTTCTTAAAAGCGCTGTCCCCCACACAGTCACACAGAGAGAGGGCTTTAACGCGTGAATGTGGGGGACACAGTTCAGCCCTAATACCCTGTCTCCCAAATCTGAGAGCTCGCATGCAGTCCAGCCTGAGGCCCAGCACAGATGTGACCTGACCTGGGCGAACACAGATGCAGGAATCTGCCATTTTATGACTAAAGGGTACAGATTATGAAACTGGCGGAAGCATGTGTTCCCTTTCCTTGGGTTGGGAATTCCAGCTCCTCTGCTGGAGCACTCCAGCACTCACTCCTGCTTCCAAGAGGCTCTTTGGGAATTTGCTTAGAAAGGGAAGAGGCAAATGCAGTTATTTTCTATGCTCGATCCAGAGGGTCGGTCACCTGTCTGCCGTCTCACCGAGCTGGCCCATGTGCCTCCCTTCCTCAGCCCTCTCCCTGCCCTACCCCGGCCCCTCAGCTTTGTCCGATTGATTTCTCCTGATCAGGTGAACTCTGCTTCGACTTCCCAGGCTCCCCACCCTCTGGGCCCAGCTCTGCCAACAACAGCACCAAGGCCCCAGTCCCTCACTCTGGCGGCTGCCCTGCAGTTCACCAAGCACTGGAGCTGGGTGTGGGCATGTTTGCACATTTCTTAGGGTGGGCAGACAAGAACCACTGTTCTGGAAAGCAGTAACTTTTATCAAAGTTCTTAAAGTGTTAAGACCTTTTTCCAATAATTTCAACTCTAGAAGTCTATCCTAAGGAAAAAAATCAGAAACATCATCAAAGATTTTGATCATTTTTAAACACTTGGGTGGCACAACTTGTTGCCACGGCATTGGAACAACCTAAGTAAGTGGCTGCGATATCACACAACACCCAGAAGAAACCTATTCTGCCATTGAAATTGTTTTCAAAGAGTGTTTAGTAAAGGGAAAATAAATTTCAAAATATGGCATCCAGGGTATGGGCATCTGCCACCGCTGTCCACCTTTGCAGAGTTACATGGAGGGGGGTACATGGCAGGAGTGCCCCAGCTGCCAGCAGCAGTGTGCAGGGCCCTGTTCACGCTCTGTCCTGTTTCCCTGGAGTGACCGTGTTTCCATAGAATGACCGAGCTGGGTCGGACCAAGAGGATGCCGGGTGAGCATCCTCTTCTGGGTGAGGGTACAGGCCATGTTTGAGGGTGGAAGGTGGCCACACATATCATGGGACATGCCCTTTGTGTTGCAGTTATGCCCAGACCTCGATCAGAGCAAGTCTCACCTTCAGCCAGGGCTTCAAGGCCGGGAGGAGCATGCGACGGAAGCTCTTTGCAGTGTTGAGGCTGAAATGCCACAGTCTGTTTCTGGATCTGCAGGTGAGCACGTGACCAGCAGACCTCATAGCTCAGAAAGCCTGCTGCTCAGTCAGCCAGTGGGAGTTGGTTTATAGGTCCCACTGTGTACATGTGCAGATGTGCACATAAGCATGCGGATATTGGTGGGTGTGCGTTTGAGCATGCATGTGTATAACTGTACATGTGGGTGCATAGCTGTGCATGCCTGTGGGTTTGTTTTTACATACATGCCTGTGTGTGTACGTGTGGGAGTGTGCATAGATGTATGTGAGTGTGCATGTGTGCCCATGCACATCCAGGACCCCTTCCCCTACCCTTCTCAGGCTTATCTTCCTCCACCCTGGGGCTCCTCTTCGCAGGGTATGGGGGTCCAAGGCCTTGGTGGCCTCAAGCTTCAGAACCTCAGGGCCACAAGGTGTCATCACAGCCACCCTGAGCACTGGCCTTCTCATCCCTTCCTGCCTGTTTTCCTTAGGTGGCCCCAGCAGAGTCCTGACTCCACCCCAGGCAGCAAGGGGCCACCAGTGAGGATGTGGTAGGATGTCAATGGAGAGAGAAGGGTCCTCTTTTTTACTCCACTCATGCTGGTGATCACGCAAAAGATAGAAATGTACATTTCAGTTGTATTTCCAACATTTCCTTTCCTTGCGGCTCCAGGTGAACAGCCTCCAGACGGTTTGCACAAACGTTTACAAGATATTCTTGCTGCAGGCCTACAGGTGGGCTCGTTGGCTGCGCCGGCACAGAGAGCGGGGCGACAGGGCCACGCACGGCCTGGGCCCTGCTTTCCCGTGGGCTGAGAGCAGCGCCCTCTCCCTGGTTCCCCAGGCCTTCACGTCAAAGCCTTTGGTTTATGGGAAAGCAGTTTCAGCAGTGGAGGCTGCCTCTTCATGCAGTTCTGCTTTGTCGGAGGTCCTGTGCCCAGTCACCAGGTGGTGCTAGGAGGCCAGCATGGCCCGAGGCGTCCCTGCGTCCTGCTGCAGGGACGGGGTTGTAGGAGATGAGCCACAGTGGGAGGAAGGCAGATGCCCTCCTGGGGAGGATCCCAGAGAGCAGAGGGTCCAGGCAGGTACAGGTGACCATCCGTGGCCACCAACCCTCCAGTGTCCCCCAGAAAGGGGCTCTGGTACCTGACTCCCAAACAGTTCAACCACTACTTGTGCTCCACTCATTAGTCCATGCTGAGGCCCTGCCACGCTTCCAGAACATTCCCTGTCCCCAGGGGTTCCACGGTAACCTGCTGAGAACTGGGGCAGAACTAAGAACTGGTTGTGCCTTAGTGTTTTCTGGGAAAATGTTAATGGTCACGCTGTCAAGCTGTGCTCACCCCTCAGGAAGATGGACACCAGCCTGGCTACTCGCCTGTCTGGCCTCAGGACACACGCTGGTCTTTGCTCAGTGGTTTCCAGGGAGACCTGCTGCCAGGCAGCTCAGGAAGCAGCTACTGCCCCTCTGGCACAGGGAAAGCCTTCTGCCCACAGTCGGGGCCAGTGGCTGTAAGCATGGGGTGGATGAGGGCGCACAGCCATCCCCCGGGTGCTGGGGAGCTGGGCATCTGTTTCGAGCCTCCGAGTTTGTGGTACCCAGTGCTGTGCCCATGCTGTGAGACACAGTTAGCTGGTAGGAACTGAATGGGGCTGTCGGAGGAAATGCCTGTTAAATGTCACCAAGAAACTCCGTCAGCCCCAGAGGGCCCGCACCCTGTGCTTTGGCCGTGAGGGCCAGAGGGCCCTGTGTACACTTCTGGGAAGTATGGGGCCCACGTGCTCCACCCAGAGACCCCAGTGCTCAGATCAACACCTGCTGCTTTTCGTATTGTTTCTTCCTTCACCTGCATCTTCTCCCCGTGCACACGTGCTGTCATGTGCAAGCTGCCGTGACACCTTTGCAAATGTGCTCAGTGTAAACAGGAATGTGCCCACAGGCCATTCTCAGCTACCAGCAAGGTAGCTGTGATACCTGCTCATTTCTCAGGTCCCTAAGGGGTAAGGAGCAGTCAGCTGATGCTTCCAAGTGAGTGGGAGACCAGCCCCTGACCAGCCCCAGGTCCCTGGAGGCCTCATCATTTCGCCTGCAAAGGCCCTGCTATGGGCTTCAGCCCAACCTCACCCTCCTGCCCCCAGCAATATACCCCCTTGCTCTGTGGGGCTCTGGCCCCATACACCTTCCTGTCAAGGAACATTTTTGGAACCCGGGTGTATGGCAGGCACCCTTGGGCAGCTCCACGCTATTCGCTTGGTCAGTCAGTGTGACGGGGTGCAGAGCTGCTGGCTCCTCCACCGTGGTCATGAATGGCAGCTGCTTCCCAGTAAAGCAGGTTAGGCACATAGAAGGTCAGAGAGCCCCATGCCCTTCCCAGCAGGAGGGGACATGCAAAGCTGAACCGTAGTGGTCACAGCAGCTGAGACAGGCAAGGCCAGGGCAGTCTGCCTGGCCCACAGACCAGGACGCTCACCAGGCACCGTCTGACTGGGGCCTGCTGGGCTCAGCTCTTCATGAACAATCGGGGACTCCAGGCTAGAGTTGTTGGAAGGTGCAGTGTCCACAAGTGGAGGCCTCCCCCACTCTGCGCTAAGCACCATTTCTCCCTTGGTAGAGGGTCCTCCCAGCATGTGGTACACACCCTTCCACGCCAGTAGTGGCCCCAACCCTGTTTCCAGGTCTGTCTCCCCACTCCCATAAGCAAGAAAGATGCCTCCATCTGCCTACTGGCTGGATGGACACATGCACATTTCTTCCAGAAGGGGCTTGGGTCATTGGCAAGATCAGGGGCACAGGGCACCTGGCCATGGGCTTGTCATGTGGTCACGTGCACAGGGGGGTACTTGTGCACATGTACACGTACAGGCTGAGCACACATGCACACCTGTGCCTGTAGACCCACATGCCCCCCATGCACACGTTCAGCCAGGGACTGCCCTCTGATAAGCCCGATCTGCCCTCAGGTTTCACGCCTGTGTGCTCCAGCTCCCGTTCAATCAGCATGTTCGGAAGAACCCCTCGTTTTTCCTCCGAATCATCTCTGACACTGCGTCCCGCTGCTATACCCTTCTGAAAGCCAAGAACACAGGTGCGTGCAGGTGACCCAGGGCTGGGGTGGCCTGTGGTGCTGGCAGACATTGGATTCTCAGCGCACGGAGTGCCCGGGACTAGAGCAGCTCTGGTGCCAATGTGCCCAGAGGCGCTAGTGTACCCAAGACAGGAGACAGGGAGTTGGGCTCTTGCCATTTCTCCCCACGGTCTAACGTGCCGACCACATGCTTACCTCATCTCACCCACCCCTTGCCATGTGGTCAGACATCCTTCATGATTGGAACATGATGGAACATTGGGGACTGGCCGAGGGGCCTTGTCCCAGGCAGGGCCTCCTCTCCGTGGGGCTCAGGGATGCTCGTACGAATCCAGGCTGGTAGTCAGGAATAGGGGAGACTAAGCCCAAGCCCCCTGCCTGTCTCGGAGGGAGGGAAGTCAGGAACAGCCATGCAAGCCCCTCATCCTGCCTCCACCCCCTACAACCTCGGCATGCACAGTCACAGTCAGGTTGAGTCAGGCCATGCTTTGTGGTCCTGAGGGCAACAACCTTTACTTACTGTTAGTTCTCTTTTGGGGAAACTTCTTTGGAGAAGTTGAAAGCATTTCAGCTGTCAGAATTCTGTGGTTCTTGGGTTGGGATGGCCCCTGAAATGAAGTCATCTGTTGGTGCCCTGCCCCTTGAGTCCCTGCTCTGGAATGCAGCCTGATGGGGACCCCAGGTGTCGACTGGAGCCCAAGTGCTGGGATGGGCCCGGTGGAAGCCTCAGCCTCTTGTGTTGTCCCCCAGGGCTGTCCCTGGGGACCAAGGGTGCTGCTGGCCCATTTCCTTCTGAAGCCACTAGGTGGCTGTGCCTGCACGCCTTCCTGCTGAAGCTGTCTCATCACAGTGCCACCTACAAGTGTCTTCTGGGAACGCTCCGGGCTGGTAAGCTTGGGCGAGTGAGTCCAGCCCCAAGGCACCCCTCGTGCATGCGCAGGAACTGTCCTTGTCCTTGAGTGAACGAATGTCAGTCCCTCCATATCTGAGTCACAGGAGTGGTGGGGACAGCAGTCCCCAGGTGATGGGGTGCAAATGACTGGAGGGTCATGGCTCCCTTACCTGGGCTCCTGGCCTGCCCACTCAGACTCTCTACCTCTTCATTCCTCACCTCCAAGGCTGATACTTTCTTCAGGAACTGTGCCTCCCTCTCCCTCCCTCCTCCAACCCCCTCTGGTCTGTGTGCCCTTCTCCCACCCCTGGCCTGCATCCTGGCTGCACACACCACCCCCTCACTGTGCTCTGACATGCTTACTGGCCCCGTCTGTTCCTCAGCCCCGAGGGTGTGTGCCCCATGCCTGGAACCTGGCCAGCACATGGTAGGTGCTCAGCACACAGCCATCCCTTCCTGGCCCCTCAGTGGGCCCACAAAGCTACCAACATGAAGCATGTTCTCAGGTTTTTTCTGGGAGGAAGTCTGATCTTGGTCATCTTGCAGCCCAAGCGCAGCTGTGCCGGCAGCTCCCGAGGGCGACGCTGGCCACACTGCAAGCCGCAGCTGATCCGGCCCTGACCACAGACTTCGAGGCCATCTTGGACTGATAGCCAGTCCTTCTCACAGCTCAGGGTGGGTGCCAGGCCCTGGAGCCCCATCCCAGCTGGATGTACCCAAAGGGTCTGTCCTCTGTGCCCTGAGACCCCAAGACATGCTGCTTACTGGGCTGCTTCCTGGAGAGGTCTGCCCCCAGGTCCTCAGGGAAGCAGAGCCCGCCCTGCCTCCAAACACCTGCACGCCCCTGCTGCCGCTTCCTAGTGACAGGTTCATCCTTCAGTTACCTGCTGTCAGGAGGAGGCAGATAGAGGAACAGGCTGGGTCATTGGCATCCAGAAGTGTCAGGGACCTTTGTCACCCTTCCCGCTGTGGGGTCACCCTGGTCTGGGGTGCTGGCCCACAAGTAGTGGGTGTGTGTGGACTCCTCCCTGTTGATCTGCATAGTCCTAAATCCAGCTGTCCACACCCAGTGGAGCAGCACCCACCCTGATACCTCAGCTGCATCCAAAGTTCGTGCCTTGCTCAGCTTGCCCAAGAGCAAAGGGCCCGGTCAGCTGTTTGAGGTTTATCCCCACCAGTCACACCCACACTTTTGACCTGCCTGCCCCACACTCTGCCCAGGCCTCCAGGAATCGAGTGTCCAGCACCATTCACCCAGCTGTCGCACCTGCTTCCAGAGTCTCCTTTTCCCCACCCAGCACACCATCCTCATGACCCCTCCTGCACCGCCTCCTGCTCCTACCCCATCACCCCAGTGACAGGGTAAGAGCTGCAGAGAGAAGAGCCTTTGTTTATTATTTTCTTAGTTTTTAAATATTTATCTTAGGTTTGTATTAAAATGCACACTACACAAGTACTGTTACCCATAATTTTAAAAACATGAGTGTTGATGTGTATAGGTTTTTGGTTTTGTGGGGGCTGGAGGGAGTTTCCAGGGGTGGGGTTGGGGGTGTGGTGGGAAGGAGGGAGGAGGTGGGTGGTTGGGAAGGGGCGCTCCCACCGGGCAGGTGCAGCAGGACGGTGGTGGGAAAGCCTTAGCCCAGCCCTACCCGTGTCTACAGCTGACTGCACCAGCTCAGCTCAGGTGACCTGGAGCCCATGAGGCAGCGGATCGCAACCTGAGTTCTGGGTTCCCTGGGGCTTGAGGCACACATTCATGGGGTGCTGTGGCCCCAAGTTTCCAGTTCAGCAGGTCTGGTGTAGGGCTTGGGAGTTAAGCAAGTTCCTAATGCTGCTGGCTGGCGGGGTGGGGGCCCCGCCACAGAACCATTGCTGTGGGGACCTGGAGGTTTGGGGGCCGGACTTGGGCCTCTCCTGTACAATAACCTGGGGGGCGGATAGCAGCTCTCAATCCACAGTCAATGTCAGGAGTTTGGAGGGGTGTGGAGGGTGAGGTTATGGAGGACATAGGTGAGTCCACCCAGAAGTGGCTAGGAGTCGTGGAGGGGCTTATATGACAGTATGCAGGCTGGGGCCTAGCTGATGGAGAGGAGGGGTTATTCTCTCAGAAGCTTCACCAGAGCCCCCATCCCACCCCTGGTCAAGGCCCTGCTCAGATTCCCACCTTCTGGGTCCACCCCAGCCACCAGTGTCTGTGGGAGCCCCAGCAAAAGAAAGGCTTGTCCATGGAGCTGCAGGTGTCATCAAGCAGAGAGCCGGAGTTGTGTCCTCACCTCTGTGAGAATGACCCCTCCAGTGGGGACCCACAGCATACTCCTCTGGTCCACCCTGGGGGGCATACTGCGCACTGGTGGGCCCTGCAGGGCACTGGACAAAGGTCAAACAGCCAGAGCTGGAAGGATTGATTGCACAAAGTGTAACGGGGCAGCTCAAAGGAAGTGTCATCGGAAGCAGTCGTCTTCATGGTGGGGCGGTTGTTGGTGCTCTGCCCTGTCCCCTGGGGTGGAGTGGTAAGCAATTTAGAAGCTTCCTTCCAGATGTTCCTGATGGGGCCACAAATTGTGACAGGTGCTATTGAGTGTACCTTGGCGGGGGTTGAGTGCACACGCTTTCAGAGTTTATGGGCCTTGCCTTGTTTACTGTTGCTGTGGAGAGTGCTCGAGTGACGGCTCTCTGTCTTATGGCAGGCCCAAGTCCAAGTGTGTCATAAATGTGCAGGAGAGATGAGCCCCACCCTGAGTGTCTCCCTGTGGCGCCCTCGCTCTTGTAAGTGGGGGAGAACTGACCTGCCACCCAGGGCAGGTAGGACAGGACATGACCAGGAACCCCCTGCAGGCGCTCGAGCTGACCTGAAATGACCCGCCCTGACCTGCATGGGCTCATGGCGCCCTGTGCATTTCTGGCATTTCCGTAGCAGACTGGGCCCAGGAGGTCAGTCATTGCTCCCTTATCTGTCTTCTAGAAGCTCCAGAATCCTGTTCTCTAGGAAATGCATTGGGGGGCACTTTTACTCAGGGCCAGGTGCATCTTTACTAAAGTGTTAAACCCTGAGGAACACGTGTACTTTGGTCAGGCTTCGCTCACTAAGAATTTCTGATTCATCTCTTCCAAACCACTGTGCAGTCTGCCAAGAGCTCAGGGCGAAATATGAAAATGATTTTTAAAAATTTAAGTGAACAAAAAAAAACGTAGACATTTGGTGTTCCCTGGGTCTGAACGGCAGAAGCAGGAGCCCGCTTGCCCCTGCATCCCACTACCCTGTGGAGCGAGTGCAGTCGAAGTGCGAAAAGAGCGGCTGGGAAGCCGAGTGACAGCAGAGGGTGCCTCCGGGCGCCTTGGGGTGCTGTGCAGTTATGCTCCCCAGTCCCAGGGTGCTGCCCCCTCTCTTGCCCACGTACATGCTCATACCTCACTGTAAGGGACTCTAAAGCAAAGGGAAGCCAAGCCTGGGTGAGCTCAGAACCCCCAGGTGCTGTAAGAAGCAGAATGATGACCCCCAAAGTTATGCCCTCATCCCGAAACCTGCAAGTGAAATGAGGTAACTCATCAGCCAACTGAAAGGGAAATTATTGTGAATTACCTGGAGGACCAGTGTGATCGCAGGGTCCTTGCAAGGCTGAGGAGACCATATGTCAAGAGAGATGCCGTGTGAGGCTCACTGGCCATCGCTGGCTTTGTGAGAGGATCGGCAGCAACATGGGGGCAAAGGGCAGGACTCGCCCAACCATGGGGCTTAACACACACTTTGGGGTACCCTTGAATTCAGTCCATGTGAACTCCCAGCTGCTCCCAGGCAGCAGTAATGCATGCCCTGTTTGCCTGGGTCTGGGCGGGCTGTGGGCACAGCAGGCCTGGCGTGGGTTGTGCATGACTTGCACTTGTCTGGGGGGGACTTTCAGCACCCTGGACAGCATTAGCCCGACTAGGGACTGGTTTAAAAGTTGCTTAGAAAGACCTGTGCTGGGTCTTCACAGAGGCTGTTCCCAGCAGCATGTAGCCAAAGATAGAGCGGTCTCAGGGTGGCAAGTCTGAAGCAAGCCGGTGTGTCAGGGCTGGGCACCTTAGACCCGCCCCCTGACTCGGCACTGGTGGAGGTGGGCAGAGGGAGGGTGGTCAGATGGAGGAGTTAGCACTGGAGCAGCTGGGGAAGAGGCCCTGTTCCGAGGGCTGTACAGCCAACAGGTCCTGACTGTGGCCTACATGACTGCTGGGTGCATGGACAGCACCGAGAAGTGACTGAGAGCAACTGGGAGTGAGAGTGATGTGGCTCCTCTGAGACAGTAGGAACCCGAATGATAATCAGCCTTTCAGTACCTTCTTGACACACATTTAAGCCTTTGAGAAAGTTTTCAGTTTGCAGGCCGGCACTCAATCCACTGAGCCACACCAGCCAGGGCTCCTTTGAGAAAGTTTTAAAAGAATGGAAGGCAGTGATATAACCTCAGGAGAAACCAGCCAGCACCTAGCTCCCTGGCCAGGCTAACTGCTCTCTCGAGGAGGGTCTGTTTCTGTTTTGGGGTCCTGGGGTGCCCATTTGTTTCCTGTGACAATTTCCCACATGAGGCTGCCCACTTCACCTGAGAAAAGCCCATGTTCCTGCTGCCTACACAGTTCCCCTTCACTGATGCGGTCACGACAGACCTTCCTCGTGACCCAGGTGCTCTAGGTGCAGGGGCTGCTGTGGGCCCAGGGCCTGTTTGCTTCTCATTGGAGATCAGCCCTACGATTCCCATAACTTGTGTGCTGCGAGACCCCGCTGCACAGGGTGTGGATGTGGCCTTCTTAGAGCTCCCTCTGCCGGTCTGCTTGGCAGTGGGACCCCCCTGCCCTTTGCCCATTGGTTCGCCAGGCGCAACCTACAGCCACCCAGACATGTGCCCCAGACTGCAGGGCCCCAGGAGCCAGGTGCTGGGCCATCTCTTGTTTGGAGAACAGCATGGACTGTGATGTTGAAACTGGTCTGACCACTGAGCAGGGTCGGCAGGCGTGAGGGTGTCTGGAAGGCACAAGCACAGGTCTTAGGTTTGGGGGGGAATATAATGGGGTTGGGTGATCTGTGGGTGAGGGACACACAGGTTAGGCCCTCCCCACCCTCAGCAGGCTACGCTGTCCTGCAGCTTCAGGCGTGTGTCCTGTTGCACACTCTCCTGCTTCCGTCTGCGCTGGGAGAGCCACTGCGCCAGTGCGACCGTCGGGACCCACAGTGCGGGCAGCAAGGACAGAAGCACACAGACGGCCTGCACCCAGCCTGGGTAGGGCTTCTCCTGCCGCAAGGGGAACTGCTTCTGCAGAGACACAAGGCCACAATGAACATCTGGGGAAGGGAACAGCGTCACCCTGCTCTACCGCCCTGGTCAGAGTGAGGCTGACCCTCCGCCAAGTGACCATGGATTGGGTGGGCAGCTCCACCCCAAATCTTCCTGAAATGAAGCAACAGGTTGGTTCATTCCAGGTGGGTGAACGGAAAGGGCACACAACCAGGGGCTGCTCCCTTGGTGGTGAGGGCACGGGGCTGAAGTTTCAGGACATGGGCTGAGCCTCTTCTGGGGACTGAACTCTGAGCCACAGGCCTGGAACCTAGGGACTGTGTTCTGGAAAGAGCCGCCCTGACCACCCGAGGGAACCCACAGGCTCGAAGTCGCCTCTGTGTGGCCCACTGGCATCATCAGGCTTAGTGGCCTCCCTGTGTCCCCTCTCTTGGAGGGCAAGACCACACGCGGACTGCAGGCCCTTCTTTTGAGGTTCACAAGGCACAGCTGTGTGAATCTAATAGTATAATATTCATGAGAATTCTTTGAGAAGTATTGCACCATTTCTTCCTCCTGCCCTTGGTGGCTTGGGCAGTTCCCCTTTAGAAGAGGAATTTGAAAGAGAATTACTTCCCTGCTCCCCACAGGGGGCACGCTGAGGTTCAGAGCAGTTAAAGGGGGTGGCAGGTCAGCTACCATGGCTTGGCCCTCTGACAGGGCTTGGTGGCAGTTCAGTGACATAAGCCACATGCGCCTCCTCCCATCTCAAACCAGGGGTGAGCAGCATGCAGTGCCTGTCCCCACAGCACTGAGAAGTGTGGCCTCCAGCCACACCTCTGTGTGCAGGGCTGCAGGAACCTGTGAGGTCCCCAAAGTCTGGTAACTGCTCCAGTCCTTCTGCCACTGGCTGAGCTTGTCCAGACTGCCGAGTCACCTCCGATGTCCCAAGGGACTCTAGAGGTCCCGTGGCCTCAGGTCCCATAGAAAAGGCAGCCCAGCCCTGACTGGTGTGGCTCAGTGAATTGTGCACCCCCTACAAACCATTCCCAGTCAGAGCCTGGGTTGTGGGCAAGACCCCCAGATGGGGGCATGCGAGAGGCAACTGATCGATGTTCCTCTCACACATCAGTGATTCTCTCCTCTTTCTTCCTCTCTTCTCTCCAAAAGATACATAAAATATTTTTAAGAAAAGAAAGAAAGAAAGAAAGAAAAGGTAGCCCACACTGTCACTGAGGGTGCAGATGTCCACCAGGAGGGTCATCTGGGCTCCAGATGGCACCAGGTCCAATCCAGGCCCAGTCTGAGGGACCCCAGGGCCCCTGGATCCCCATCTGCAGGACCTACGTATTGGGGGTCCCAGGCCCGATAGCTCATTGTTGTCGGGATCATGACGACCATGTAAGCTGTGAGGACCGTCAGCAGCAGGAGGGGACTCACGACCTTCCAGGTCATCCGCCAGTAGAAGCCAGGCCGCCTCCCCGTCATCCATGCTATGTCGTCACAGAACCTGCCAGAGACAGCGGGTTTAGGTCTCCCACCCGGTCCCGTGCCGGCAAGCCCACACAGCCAGCAGCTTCATCCAGAGTCACAACGATGTGACCTGTGGGGGCTGTCCCGCCACCTCCATCTGCCTTTTGCCCATGTGCCTTCCTGAGCAGCCACCAAATGGGCAGCCCTCTCAGATCCTGATGAGGACTCAATCTCCCATTGATATGTGGCAAAGGCCTGGCGAGCAGGTTAGTCTGGATGAGGGAGAGGGATAGGCAGGGGGTGCTCCAGCATCTCCTGGCCCTTTCCAGACATCAAGGAGGAGCTCAACCCGGCCACCAGCCCAGCTCCTGGGGAAGGTGCCTCTGGACAGGAACTGCAGGGTTCATCCCTGCAAGGCTCAGCCACTGGGTGAGAAGCAGTAAAGCCTTTGCCAGTCCAGCTGTAGGACGGAAGCTGGTGCCTGACCTGGTGCCCTTCGTGCCCAGGATGGTGAAGCTGCCTGCAAGCTGCCCTGCCCCTGGGGTTGGGGTGACTCAGAGTGACTCAGGCTGATCCACAGTAACATCCGGGAGCCAGTGGAGAGGCAGGAATTCCCTCGCAGCTCTTCCTCTGCTTGCTCCCTCCACCCCAGCTCCACCCCAGAAGCATCCTGAGTGTCTCCTGAGAGCCCGTGGCTGGCTGGAATTCAGGGCTCGCTGTTTGTCCCGCGTGACCAAGTCAGCTGACTCTCACTTCCATTTCTCCCGGTGAGCAGTGTCTCACCTCAGGACCAGCATGCTGGCCCCTGTGCCCTCCGAGCAGGGGTGAAGGCCCTAGATTTGGTGACTCCCAGGACCCCTTGGAACCAAGGACAGAGAGCACAACCTCGAGGACCACTGGGGCAGAACTGGGCTCAGGGGTGGCAGGGGAGTGCAGGTCTAAGTGTGGATGTGACAGGTACAAGTTACAGGTGTGAGTGACAGGGGTGGGTCCAGGTGGGGGTGAAGGCGTGAGTGTGCAGCAGGCCCAAGCCAGGTGGGGATGGGCAGGACAAGTGCTGAGCCTTCTCAGAGGCCTCCAGGAGGGCATGTGGGCAGGGCGGGCCTTCTGATCCCTGGTGTCCGCCCACGTGTCCTTGACCTTGAGGAATCTGTTCTATGTGACTGAAGACTGGTCATTTTGTTGCTTGCCTCCCCACAGGCTGGGAGGCCAGCACAGCCAGGTGGGCCGGTCCTGTGAGGGATCTCGTAGACCACTGGGAGCCACCCTGGGTATGTTTTGGGAGGGGCCTCAGATGATTCTGTCTTATCCCCTTAGGTGCCCTGGAGACTGGCTGCCACATTGCCCAGACATTGGACACAGGGACGTGGGGAGCAGAGGGGCAGGACTTCAGCCCAGCTGATGCTGAGGGAAGCAGAACTCACTTTTCTGTCCCATAAACATAGATGACACCGACCACCTCCATGAAGGCAAAAATGATTAGGTTCAGGGAAGCAGTATAGTTGTCGAAAATCTCAAGCCAGTAGTTCCCAGACTGCAGCGTGAAGCAGGTGGACGAGAGGAAGCAGACCAGGCAGACGGCTCCTGCACACAGACATGCGTCTGAGCATGTCACCCTGGCTGCGCCCTCCCAGCTCCTCGCACCTCCTCCCCCATCGGCCTATCCCCACCACCTCCCAAACTGTGCCTGGAGGGCAAGAGGGTGTTGGGATTGCACTCACTGAGCAATGCGGGAGGGGACCCCTGATCCCTGCCCCACTCTGCCCCTGACCCTCTGCCCTCCCATAATGACCCTTAGAGGCATCAAGTCCAGGTCCACCGAGTCCAGCCCTGAAAGGTGTCAGGGCTGGCCCAGCTCTCCATGTGACATGGCCGTCGAGCCCTCATGGAGGAGGGTGTCTGGACAGCATGTGGGAAAACAAGAGCCGTGAGGCCAGTGACAGTGACAACACTCACCTGTCATGGCCTCCTTGGGGACCCATCTTGGCAGGACCTCCATATCCAAGAGTGGCGTGATGATACCCTCCATGTTCCCAAACATGGAGGACAGCCCCAGGGTGAACAGCGTGATGAAGAAGAGCACGGCCCACACAGGCGCCCCTGGCATGTGCAGGATGGCCTCGGTGAAGACGATGAAGGCCAGGCCCGTGCCTGAGGCACTCTGCAACACAAACGGGCCCTTGCTGGGATGTAGCGCACCACCTGTCCTGCACTGTGAGCCATGGGGGCACCGACGCCCCTGCCGGGGTCAGGACCAAGGGGGTGGTCCTGCTCTGTGTGGGCTGCACTGACACAATGCGGGCGCCTTCCTGAGTGACAGGAACCTTTTCCCTGTTCATGGCCTGCAGCCAACGTGTGACATGGGACCCCAGGACCTTGGATTCAGGCTCCCATCAGATTGCTGCCCTGAGGACCTGCCTGCTGACTGCCCAGCCCAGCCCACTGCCCTGGTCCCTGATGGTCAGCTGGCCCTGCGTGCAGCTGCTCAACTTCCCGCCACAGCCAGTGATGTCCACTCCCCTGGCCAGCTGTCGGCAGCAAGGCCGGGCCCCTCAGTACCTTATCCAGAAAGTCTTGCAGACAGCAGGACTCTAGGTGCAGCCCGACCACCGTCTCGGTCTGGGTGGCATTCAGGTGTGTGAGGATGGCAGCGTAGTTTTCCCTGGAGATGCTCTGGTCGGGGAAGTCAAATTCATTGGTGAGGCTGAGGATGTTCCTGCAGGGACAGAGAGGCTGAGTGAGCACTCAGTGGGGTCATTGGGACACCTGGCACCCACAAGCAAACACAGCCAGAAATGCCCAGAAAGGACCCCGACAACCCTGTGAAGGCCAGCCCCTCTGGGTGTGGCAGGGTCTCAAGGATGTCTGTGGCGGGAGTGCTTATTTCTTCACACACACTGTGGGGAGGAAGGCTGTTCTCAGGCTCCGAGGGGCTCCCCTTAGGGCTCAACTGGGCCCGACCTGTGGGTCCCCAGGGGACATGGGGTGCAGTGCTCCCCACAGGCTCCGGAAGGGGTGGGTCCAAGCTCTCTGCCCCTCCAGCCGCATAGTCAGAGAGCTTTATTCAATTGTCTCCAAGGCTCCCGGCTCTAAATAATATTGCAGGTGTTCCCGTAACCTCAAAATCAACGCCCGGGCGCCTTCTGCGAGCTTGCCTGCCCAGGTCAGCCAGGCCACGCACTGCCTTTCCGTTTCATCTCCACTGTGGACAGTTGGGGCCCGTGGTTTTCACATATTTTGTGCTTTTTGGTGGTGATTTTGCTGTTTAAAATGTCCCCTAAGTGTAGTACAGGGGTGCTGTCCTCACATGTAGCGAGATCAAGGCACACCACCCAGGAAGACTGTTGGGATGATTTCTAGTGCAGCTAATGGGTCAGCAACTTGTGTTTACCAGGCGTCTTGGTGGAAGCAGGTAGAATAACCGAGTAGCAGCTATGCTGCTCACCAGGGCACAGGCCCCACGGCCCCTCCAGAGCATTCCGCCCCATCCTGGGAGTGCCGCCGTCCCCTTCTTCCCTCTGCCGGCCGGGCCTAGCGCTTAGAACAGGCGTCACAGCGGCACCATGGACGTGGCTGGATCACCTTCCGGGGACTCGCAGGGGGTCCTTCATGCATCTCCCAGCTCTGGATGCTCTGGCCTTCCTGGGCTTGTGGCATGTCCTGAGAGGACCACCACTGCCTCTGTCATCAAGTGGCCTCTGCCTGTGTCCGTGTGTTCCCTTCTGTCTCATATAAGGACACTCTCATGGTTTGGGGCACCCTTTCCGGTATGATCTTATCTTAACCAACACCACCTGCAAAGACCCGATGAGGCCACGTTCTAGCTTCCAGGTAGACGCACCCTTTGGGGGACACTCTGTCCTTCCCCACGGAAATGAAAAGTCATAGACCGGGACCCCCAGTGCAGCAGGCCCCAGCTGCTGGCCCAGGACGCTGTGCATACCTGTCCAAGCAGCGTCCATAGTCACTGGCCGCCTTGAAGCCCAGGACAGAGAAGACTACAGTGGAGGCGTAGAGGGAGGTCATGCTGTTGATCAGGGCGACGATCACCGCGTCCTTCTCACAGTCGTTCCTGAGCAGACAGAGTGAGTGCTGTGGTTAGGGCCCCTCAGAGAGAAAACTTGGAGGGGGCGCCTGCTGCCTCAGCACCCCCGCCCTGAAGCCCCCCATGCTGCACTTGGGGCCTCTTATGTGTGACCCAGAAACACTGTGCTGTTCCTGGTGGTCTCAGGACAGCTTTGGCCTCCTCCCGCCACCCCCAGCTCCAGGCTGCAGAAGTGAGCTAACCACACACAAGCTACTGAGGGTGAGAGTTGAGATAGTAACTTGTCGACACAGCCCATGGCCCAGCTGGCCCTTTGTCCTCCACCTCCTGTCCCTGTGCTCTCTGAGGGATAAAAGTACTGACACCACACAGCACTGGGTTTACCGGTGTCACGGGGCCTCTCACTGCACAGTTTCCAATGCCGCTGTCACCGTGGGGGTAACAGGTCTCATGGATGGTGGCTGTGGCTCCCTGCGGAGTGGGGGCCTGAGTCTGTGTTAGTGACTGCAGTGGCACTTCTGCCCTCCAACCTCATGCACCACGCACGTGGTCTGTGCTGGGCGGTGTCTGACCCATGTGGTCTTGTTCCTGGGTTTGGTTATTTGGGCTCTCTTCCAGCCGTGGCTCCGGAACGTGCTACCATGCAGGACCTGACCTCCAGCCCTCAGGGGGTGACTCAGTAATTGCTGGAATCTCCAGAATCTGATCTCATCTCAAGTTCACATTAGGTCACCCTCTGTCCCAGGCAGGAAGTCCCATAAAGACGTACTGAGTGAGCATCAGGACAGACTCGGCCCTACCTGGATGGGTTGTAACTTGCGAATGCAATGTGTCCTCCGGAGGCCAACGACAGAGAGAAGAATATCTGGGTGGCCGCATCCAGCCACACCCGTGGGCTCCGGAGAGTCTGTATCTAGGGAGACATAGGAGCACCTGCTGCCACAGACACACCACGCGGGCCCAGCACCTCCTGTCCCAGAACGTTGTCAGGGCTTCCTCTGGGGCAGCTGTCATGAGTGGTGTCTCTCAGGCCCCAAGGACAGTTGAGGGAGCATGCTTGGAAGGGCAGTTAATACAGCAACCTCAGCCTCCCATCCTGTGATGTGTCAAATAAGCCAAAGCTCCCATCTACGTGGGACATGTGGGTGCTGAGAACTTGAGTGTAAACCTCTCAGGACTGGGAAATGGGTCTGAGCAACTCAAACCTTGCTGTGTTTATCCATTCCTCTCACACCCGAGGGGTTGGAGTGGCTTGTAGTTGCCCAGGGTAGGGTTCACCTGCACATGGTGCCTGGTGTCTCTGCTGCTGGGGGACCCTTAGCCTAACACCCTTCCACACACAGGTGTCCCCTTCCCTTCCCCTGAGGCAGGGCACTGCCTGGGGAGCCTGGGGCACGCCATGTAGCCCCAGGATCTCCCAGGGGCTGCTGGGATCCTGAGAGCATGGAGTGGTCTAGAAGGGTCATGGGCTCTGGCAGGCAGGCCCCTAGGTCCCATGGCACCTTGCCTTGTGGAACCGTGTAGCTGGACAAAGCTCTCAGAGGTGTGGGGTCCAGGGCACTAGGGACGGGACATCAGGTCCCCAAACAGTCTCTCCCCTGAACTGTAGTCCCCCATGTCCCACCAGAACCAAAGTCTGAATGTCCCAAACCGTGTCCTCCTCTCGTTCCCTTTGTTCTGACCCTGACCTTCTCCCTGAGGCCCACACTCCCCTTCTCCTCATCCTCACCCCACACGGTGAGGGAGTGGGATGGCTGGGCTGGGCTGGGCTGGGCTGGGGCCCTGACTCAAATGTTTTCTGGTGCCTAAACTTCCATTTTAGACCCACTTACGTTGGGAGTGAACAGGAAGGTTAACCCTTCGGCCGCCCCAGGCAGGGTGAGTCCTCTAACAAGGAAGATCGTCAGGACCAGGTAGGGAAACAAGGCTGTGAAATAAATTGCCTTAAAAAAAAAGACCAGATTGTGAAGTTTTTCAGTGGTATCTTCTCCACATAAAAATCTTTAGAAAGGCAGTCATGCTGGACACGCCTCAGTGGCCAGTGTCACATCATTCACCTGGGATTCTGTTCGAGTCAGGGTGGGGGGCAAGGTAAAGATAGTGGGGGTGGGCCCTGGTCAAGCTTGGAGGGTTTGGAGCTCACTCTGATGGTCACACATGGATTCGCATATCGTTTGTGCCCACAGGTCATCTGAGTTGGGCACTGACGTCTTGGGCAGCAGCCTCCCCCTTGGTTGCACTACAGACATTCAGCTCTCACTTCACCAACACCCTCTTCCCGCCTCAATCGCCTTGCCGCTCTCAGGGGCCTTAGGGCCCCATAACTTCCCCCAACCTCTCCCACATCCTACATGGCACCCATTCTCAGTCATGTGTGGGCAGGAATCTGTACCACAGCATCTATGCAAAGTCAGACAAGGATGCTCTTGTCCTGACCAGTGTGGCTCAGTGGGTTGAGCATCATCCTGGAGACTGAAAGGTCACTGGTTCAATTCCCAGTCAGGGCACATGCCTCGGTTTTGGGCCAGGTCACTGGTTGGGGCATGTTAGAGGCAAATGATCAATGTTTCTCTCACATATTGATGTACATTTCCCTTTCTTTCTCCCTCCATTCCCCTCTCTGTAAAAATAAATAAATAAAATCTTTGAAAAAATAGACTCCAGTCAAGATGGTGGCCTGGGCACACAAGGCTTGCCTCTTTGAACAGCCACATCAAAATTAGAATAAACTATAGAACAACCATCCTCAGAACCATATGAAATCAAGTTAAATGGAAGTCTCATGACTATGGAGTTATAGAAACCATCTCCATCCAGACCAGTAGGGGGGGCAGAGACGTGGAATGGGCTGCTCCCACATCCACATGTGGTGGATAAAAATTCAGGAGGGAAATCTCAGGAGGGAGGAGTCCCAGCCTCACACCAGATCGCCCAGCCCAGGGTTTCAGTGCCGAGCAGGTAAGTGTTCATAACTTCTGGCTGCAAAAACCAGCAGGGATTGAGTCAGTGGAAGAAACTTCTGGAGTCCCAAGCAGTTCTTCTTAAAGAACCCACACACAGACTTACTCAGACTCACTCCCTCTGAGCTCTAGCACTGGGGTAGCAGCTTGAAAGGCACCAGTACCATATAGGAAAGAACTGAAGTGTCTAGTATCAAGGCAGGAGCTGGGAGACAGCTTTTTCCCAGACAAAAAGGCAGGCAGAGGCCACTGTCCTTTTTTTGAACCCTCCCCTCACAGAGCCACAGAGCCAGCAGGCAGGTGCCATATCTGAGACTCCATCAACCTGGCTAACACAATTTGCCACACCTGGAGAGCCCCTAACACTCTATCCCAATTTATGGGCCCATCCGAGCTGTTAACATTGACTTTTGCATAAAAATCACTGAATGGCTTGGTCTTGGCTCACTCTTCACAACTTCCTAAATCCTCTCAAACAAGCCACATCTGGTCTTGGTGAGCCCCCAGCTCTCAGATCCCTTGCCTAGTGGCCCCAGGCCCAGCACTAGCAGCAGCCAGCCTTGATTCATAGCTTGGCTTCACCTGGGAATCTCCAGGTCCAGCATATGTCGTAGCCATCTCAAATTGCATTATAGGCCATGCAGGTTGGCCCTAGGCAGAACACAGGTTGGCACTGAACTTGGCCTGTACCACTTGGGAAACCCCAGAACCTGCGCTCCCAGTGGACAACTACAGACCACACCGGAGCACCACCACCCTGCCCCCACACAGCTGATCCTCCACAGAGGGTGGATGTTGGTGGTCAGTGGTTACAGCCAGTCCTTGCAACTGACTAGCCTGGATAAATCCCTCCCATTGACCTGCCAACAGCAATCAAGGCTCAGCTACAATAGAAGGCTATAGTCAGACCACACAAAAGGTGCACCTCATGTACCCAGCTTAGGTAATAAGGGAGGCTGTGTGACTGCACCCTACAGGACACCTACTACATTAGGCCATGCTACCAAGGCAGGGAGTCAAAACAGCTCTACCTAACAAATAGAAACAAACACAGGGAGGCTGCCAAAATGGGGAGACAAAGAATCATGGCCCAAATGAAAGAACAGATCAAAACTCCAGAAAAAGAACTAAACAAAATGGAGATAAGCAATCTATCAGATGCAGAGTTCAAAACACTGATTACATGAATGCTGAAGAAAATTAGTGAGGACCTCAAGAGCATAAAAGAGATCCAACTACAAATGAATGAGACACTAATTAAAAAAAAAAAAAACACTTACAGGGAAACAACAGTAGAGTGGGTGAAGCTTAGAAACAAATCAATGAACTGGAACATAAGGAAGCAAAAAAACCCAAACCCAAAACAATCATGCAGAACAAGAAAAAAAAAGAATCCAACAAAATGAGAATAGTGTAAGCAGCCTCTGGGACAACTCCAAACATTCCAACATTCACATCATAGGGGTGCCAGAAGGAGAGGAGAAAGAGCAAGAAACTGGAAATCTATTTGAAAAAAATAATGAAAGAAAGCTCTCTAATTTGGGGACGGAGATAGACCTGCAAGTCCAGGAAGTACAGACAGTCCCAAACAAGGTGGATGCAAAGAGGCCCACTCCAGCACACATCATAATTAAAATGCCAAAGGTTAAAGATAAAGAGAGAATCTTAAAAGCAGCAAGATAAAAGAAGTTAGTTACCTACAGGGGAGTTCCCATAAGATTGTCAGCTGATTTCTCAAAAGAAACTTTTCAGGCTATAAGAGATTGGCAAGAAATATTCAAAGTTATGAAAAGTGGGTACCTACAGCCAAGATTGCTCTACCAAGCAAAACTATTATTTAGAATCAAAGGGCAGATAAAGAGCTTCCCAGACAAGAAAAAACTAAAGGAGTTCATCATCACCAAACCATTATTATATGAAATGTAAAAGAGACTTGTTTAAGAAAAAGAAGGAGCCCTGGCTGGTGTGGCTCAGTAGATTGAGTGCCAGCCTGCAGACGGGAAGGGCGCTGGTTCAATTCCCAGTCAGGGCACATACTGGGTTGCAGGCCAGGTCCCTAACCGGGGACATGCAAGAAGCGACCAATCGATATTTCTCACATTGATGTTTCTCTCTCTCTTTCTCCTTCCTTTCCCCTCCCTCTAAAATAAATAAAAAGATCAAAACTATGAACAATAAAATGGCAAGAAATACATATCTATCAACAAATAATTCTAAAAAAAACAAACTAGAAAATAGAAGCAAACAAGAAGCAAAGAAACAGAATTATGGATACGGAGAACGTTTTAATGGTTGCCAGCTGGGAGGGGGTTGTGGGGGAATGGATGAAGAGGTGAGTGGATTAAGAAGTACAAATAGGTAGTTACAGAGTAGCCATGGGGCTGTAACGTACAGTACAGGAAATGGAGTAGCCAAAGAACTTGCATACATGACCCATGGTCATGAACAATGGTGTTAGGAGTGCCTGAGGAAGTGAGGGATGCTGGGTGGAAGGCGGCAGAAATTAAGACAACTGTAAGAGCATTATCAATAAAATATAATTTTTAAAAATTTAATTAATTAAATGGACAGTCTTTTCTCATTGTCCCCAAATACGGACTGACTTTGCGAGTCACCAGGATGCATATTTAGGGACTTTCATAACAGGGTTGTCTGGAAACTCTGGCTGGATCATTTGACCTCATGGCTGCCCTTGGTAATTCCAGTCCTCTCAAATGCGAAGATCCCCATGTGAGAGTAACTAACATCCACACACCCACTGAGGAACTCCCAGGTGCACATGCACGCTTCGGTCTGTGCAAGAGCCACACAACCACAACTGGGAGCCAGGGTCTACGGGTGCCTGGAGCATCATGTGGTGATATAAAAAGATGGATATGTATGATGCTGGACTTCTCTGCACCGAGAGGAGGCGGGGGAAGCTACTGAGCTGGGTGCACTTGAGAAGCCATGCAAAACAAAAACAAACAAACTAAAAAAAAGAAGCCATGCTTGTGAGCCAGAGGTGCAGGCTCCCTGGTCCTTTCCGCGTGGAAACTATAAGTACGCTTTTTCTCATTATGTAAATCTCCTTAAGAAATGATCAGTTGTTTAAAACAAAAATGCTAACAATGTACTTGGCGTTGACAACATATTATAAGTAAAATGCACAGAGTGGGGCAAAGGTTGGTTTTCAGTTGCGAGTACGTGAAACACAGATTTTATTCTTGTATTATCATTTATTAGTTATTATATTGTTTTCCATACGCACAACTGTGAGCCTACCTTTGCCCTGCTCTGTATAACAGCAGCACAAAAGCCGGGAGGACGAAAGGGAGGTGTACGGCTGGGAGGCTCCCCCACCACACACGCACTGCTCCGAGGTGGACCACGGTAAGCTACAAGCCCTAATTCAACCCCGAGATAAAACAAAGTGTTATAGCCAATTACCCAAACAAGGACACAAAGCGGGATCATAAAAACTCTCAGAAAAGAGGGAAACAGGAGCAAAGAACAGATCTGACACGTAGAAAATAAACGTAAGTGAGAGACTTATATCAACAAGATCAATAATTGCATTAAATGTAGATGGTCTGAGCACCACACATAAAAGGCAGGGATTGTCAAACTGGATTTCAAAAAGCAAGACCCAACGCGTGCTGTCGACAAGAAAGACGCTTGAAACAGAGGCCTCGGTCAGGTCAAAGAAGGAGAATGGAAAAAGCACGGTCGAGGCGCCTGGGTGGCTATGATGATACCTTCACCTACTTCAGAGCGAAGACTGTGACTCGGAGAAGGGTGGTCACTCAATAACGATGAAAGCGTCAACTCTCCAAGGAGATATGACAGTCTCAATGCCCACGCCCCTCCTAGCAGAGTGTCTGAATCAGCTGCAAACACTGCTCGCGACGTGTGGCGAGGTAGGGGTGGGGGGGTCCCCTGAAGCTGGAGGGAGCAGGGGAGTGGGGTCTGCCCCACGAGCTCTCACCTTCCCCGTGGATTCGATGCCTCTGATGACACACAGGTATATGACTGCCCAGCAGGCAGCCAAGCAGACCAGCAGCCACCACTGGACAGAACCACTGTAGTTGATGTCGGCTGTGATGTTCAGCGTCTGCCGATACCAGAAGTAGCTCACGGTGCTGCTGCCCTCGCATTCCTTCACGAACCCTGAAACCAGGAGGTCACAGGCTGGCCGAGGAGCTCAGGTGGGAGTTGGACTTTGCAAACCTCCGCCAAGGAGTGACTCTACACATAACCCATCCTGGAGCTGCTGCTGGAGAGCTGGGCCCACTGGGCAGGACCAGGGCCCTCCACTGTCCAGGACGTCCAGTGTGGTCAGAAAGGCCAACATGAGGAAACTCCAGGCCCAGACTCACTGTCAGGTGCCCAGGGCTGGCCTCGTTCAGAATGAGCAAAACACAAGGTCGTACCAGCCAGAGGTGGGAAGGGAAAGAGGATGAACACAGCCTCATGAGTAAACTGCTGAAAACAGTGACTGTTTTCCTTGTAGCCAAGACCTAGCCAGACCCAGGGCTAGGCTGAGGTCTGGACCTAAAGAACCTAATTCGGCCAAAGCAGCAACCCCCTCTCATTGCCAGGCACTGGCATGGCTCCGAGGAGCTGCCCTGTGTCTGTGGGCCCCTTCGTCCAACAGTGAACAGAGACAAGGGGCAAAGAGAATCAGATTTCAGCATGCTATTTCAGGGCAATAGTGCGGGGCTCGGGCTCGGGCAGAGCACCACGTTCCCTGGTCCTTAGCATTACCTGTCTGGTTGACGTCCAGCGGGCAGGAGCCCCAGGGCAGCGGTTGCTGGAAGGAGTTGAGGAGGTACCACAACACCCAGGACAGGACGGTGTTGTAGTAGAGGCTGATCAGGAAGGACAAGGTGAGGCTGCCCAGGCCTGCGGATGAAGCAGCAGTCGCCATCTTTTCCGTTCCACACCACCCTGACTCAGCCTCCTCCATTTCTGCTGCCCTTCCTCTGGCTGCATCTGGCCACATCTCCTCGCTGGTCACATGTCATGTTATGGCCCCCTGTCCAGCCTGCCTGCCCCCATGCCCGTGAGCTCCCAGGACGTGCTGGCTCAGCGTGTGCACAGGCCCATAGGACTCAGGACATGGGACAGCCTGCTGCTGCTGCTCCAAGGGGTTCACCCATTGCCCCTTCCTCTTGCACCCTGAGGTCACCCCCCACAACACCCTGCACCCAAGTCCTTCCTCAGGGGAACCGAATGAGGCCTTCTAAGAGTGTGACCACCTCCCACAGGGACACTGCTGCCTGGATCTCCCTGAACATTTATACCAAAATTCCTCCTTTGTCTGCAGGTTCCAAACCACAACTGTGTGATGAGCAAACCCACCGTGCCCATGGAACTGTGCCTACTTTCCACCCTCCCCAGCAACTGTGGGCAGGGGTCCAGAAAGACAGCTTACCCACTCCACCCAAGTAAGGGGAGATGGCCGTCCACACCCCGACGCTGCCTTGGCGCAGACGCTGGCCAATGGCGAGCTCCATGTGGAAGAGCGGGATTCCTTCGAAGGCCAGGGCGATGAGGTAGGGAATGAGGAAGGCCCCTGCAAAGACACGCTGGTCAGCAGAGGAAGCCCCATGGGTAGGTGAAGCACCGCGGCCTCAGTGAGAGGGGATGGACCGCACCCCGGGCCTGGTGCTGTTGTTTTAAACCATGGCCACACCCAACTCAGTGCTTTGGAGGTAGTTTTAACCAACACATGGGCCATTCTGTTCCTACTGAGACTCCATGACCCTTGGCTACCAGCATTCCCAGCACACAGAGCTGTCTCATTCACACAGAATTCTGTGGAGGCCAGTGCCTCAGATCGTCCGTCAGCTGTGCCCCGAGTTGAGCCGGGACCCATCTCTGTCCCTCGCTCACCATGCAGTGGGAGGGGGGGACGGATACAGAGTTGTTTGGTCCCAGTGTGCGCAGGCCCCTGACCTCTGCCAGAGTCCACAGACCCGGGCACCAAGCGTGATCCGGACCTGCAGCTCCCACCTGCAAGGCCTGTGGGCGAGGCCAGCCCTTCTCGTCACCAGACCCTGTGGCACCTCCCCAGGCTGCTGGGAGGAGAACAGGGTCCCCGGCAGCTGCGTGGTAACCTTTCCCACAGAGTGTGAAATGGTGTTTATGTGACGGGATCACTGTCAGTCTCTACATGCTCTGCTCAATTTTGTGACAATGTTGCTTAAGTCTTATATTTAAAAGCTTACAAAGCTGAATAATCATGAATGGGGGAGAAAATAATAGTCACCCTCAGTGTCATTAACTCAGGCAAATTAAAAATGTGACACATTATCTGCTTATCTCCTCATTTTCAAAATAATCAGTAGTGGCAAAAGGGCCTGCAAACACGTGTGGAGACATTTTTTAGGAGAAGCGTGAGTTAAAGAAACTTAGACATTTCATGACATTTTCACCAAGTGCTTTATATCTGCACCTAGATCCTAAACAGGTATTTCAAAAATGGGGACAAAGGCCCATGGGCTCAGGTGGTAACAGGGACAGCTCTCAGACCTCGTGTGGAGCCAGGGGCCCAAGCCCCACCCTGCCCCAGGCCCCAGAGGTAGGGTGCCTCAGCTCACAGCCTGTGGTGACAAGGACTCAGGAAGTTTGACTCCCCGACTGTCCAGGCCTGTAGCAGCACCGACTGTGGCCACTGGTTGTGGGTGGTGAAACGTTTACAGACACTAGTTAACTACCAGCATGTCCAGCCTTGCGTCAAGCCTGCTCCTGGCTGCCCTCTTTCCTGATGCAAGTGGCAGCTGAGGGGCGGTGGGAGCAACTGCCGCCTGCGGCCTCCGTGTCGGAGTGTTGGGAGCTCATTATCAGGACACCCAAGGCCCAAGGTGCTGTCTCGCTCCAAAACCCCACAAACATTCGACACCTCTGTGGGCAGACATGACAGGTCAGTTTCCTACTTCTCTGGCTCTGCCTTTTCAAAACTCTCTGCATGCCACACATTTTCTTATAACCAGGAGAGAAAATCACCTTTAAAGAGGCGTTGTCCTTATAACCAGGAGAGCTGCGACAAACAGGGCCTTTGTCCGCTCTGCTGGGCAGAGCTGGGGCCACGGAGCTCCCAAGAGCCCTTTCTCCCTGTCTCCCCGACAAGACTTGGCCCTGTCCTCTGTTTACCTGTCGCCATCAGGTCAGCTACCCATCTGCCTTGAAAAGGGAAAAGGTGACTCCTGTCCAGAAAATGAGGCATGAGAGCTCCACCCACCTGCAGACTTCCTTTCACCCCTCATTTCCTGGGCAGGTGAGGCCAGAGTAATTACCCCCAAAACGCTCCGCACATTTCCAACCAGAGATCTCATGGAGCCAGGTGATCACCGTGAGGGACTCTCTGGTAGACCTCAAGTCTCACAGGAGCAGAAGGTGCCTTGAAATCAAGTTGACCAGGTGCTGAGCCAGGACAGCCCCTGGAGGGTGGCACCCCAGGGAAGAACGAGCCCAGCATGGGGAGTGCCCCACCTGTCATGTCAGGAGACAAAATCTGACAATGATCCATAACAGCTGCCAAGGGTGGTTTGTGTCTTTCTGTGCCCTCAGTCCCCAGCACTGCGAGTGAAAAGGAACATGCATGTTCGCACTGCGCCAAGTGAGACAAGGGCGTGGAGTAAGAAGCGGGCTCACTGCTTTAGTTCAAGTCCTTCTGACCATCAGTGAAATGACTCACCCTCGCCCGTGTGACTCAGTTGGTTGGAGCGTCCTCCCGTGAACTGAAAGATCTTGGATTTAATTCCTAGTCGGGGCACATACCTAGGTTACCAGTTTAGTTCCCAGTTGGGGCGCTTGTGAGAGGTAACCAACCAATGTTTCTCCCTCACATCGATGTTTCTCTGCCTCTCTCAGTCCCTCCCTTCCCCTCTCCCTAAAATCAATAAGCATGTCCTCAGGTGAGGACCAAAAATAGAATAGAATAGAATAGAATAGAATAGAATAGAATAGAATAGAATAGAATAGAATAGAATAGAATAGAATAGAATAGAATAGAATAGAATAGAATAAACTCGAATGTGACTACATTTCCCAGTAGGGCCCGTGGCCTCCTGTGGAGACCTGCTGTCTCAGGGATGCTCAAAGCCGGAGCTCTCAAAGGGAGCAAGGAGTCTGCAGTGCAGACTCTGAAAATAAGGCTGGGAGAGTCCATAGACATGGGCAGCCCCATGGCGAGGCTGAGCAGGGGCAGTATTTGGAAGGTTTGCCTGGGTCCCAAGAGCTACGATGCCCGCAGACGGGACTCCCAAGGGACACGTTTCCCCCGGGTCACGGCGCATCGCTGATTCCCAGGAGGAACACCTCCCACCCAGGGGCAGGAACCAGTGACAAACCAGTCTGAAATGCCACTGCTCTCTCCTTCTTCTGGTCGAGGGTGCGGCCTGGGCACAGGCTTACCTCCGCCGTGGCTCTGGCACAGGTATGGGAACCTCCAGATGTTGCCCAGGCCCACGGCAAACCCCACGCAGCTCAGGACATACTGGAGCTTGTTGTCCCACTTGGGCCTCTCGTCCCCTCTGCTGTCCCCCAGTGGGTCTGGTCCTGGGGCACATGCCATGCCTGGTCTCCCTCACCCTGGTGCCTCAACTCTCAAACTTCTGCTGGGGCTTGCAGCCAGGTGCAGTCTCCCCTTCAGGTGTATTTTTTGTTATTTAAAGGAAAGCTGTGGAGCCAGTTAATCGGTAACTCAGGCCAGGCCCTGGCTCTGGCATGCAGTCCCTCCTTGGCGCCCCCGCTCCCGCACCAGCCTGCCTTGTATGACCAGTGCTGATGGCCTGCAGGTGCCCTACCAATGAACCGTTCTCAACAGGGGCCTCCGTTCCCAGTGGGGACACTCAGGGGGCCCAAGACTGGGGCCCATTAGGTTATCTCGACTGTGAGACAATAGTCTAAGAAATACTATGGAGAGCTCGTGTGCCCAGTTCCCCCAGTGGCAACATCTTGCAAGTATCCGGTCAACATCACAACCAGATGTTGATGCTTTTCTGTCAGTCCAGGACCCGTCCATTGGAGGGTCCCTGCTGTCCCCTTTGCTGGCCACACTTATCTCCCTTCCACTTCCACCCCCTTCCTAAACCCTGGCAACCTCTAACTATAGTGGTTAGTTCAAGAACATTATGGAAATGGAATCACGCAGTGGTGACCTTTGACGTTGTATGGGAATGGGGCGGGGGGGGGGGTTCCTCCACTTGATGCTGCAGCTTCCCCCACACCCTAAGCACCCACTGCTGCCCTCAGGCAGCAGGCAAGACAGGGGACACCCACTGCACATGGTGGGGACCTGAGAAGTTGGGGGACAAGTCACTCCACCCCTTGAGGGAGAGGCGAGCTGCTCACATGGGGTAGTTCAGCCCAGGCACTCTCACTGGGGGCTCCTTGGACAGGGAGACCCCCGCCCCTGCAGATTCTTCCACTGGGACAGGCCAGAGCCCCAGGTTCACAATTCTCACTTGCTCAGGACGTGGTGTGGCTCAAACATCTGGCTATGTTCCCAAATATGCGGGCCCTGGAAGTGTGGGCCCCATGGACCCAGTTTTAAAAGATTCTTTTTGGGGTGAGAGGGAAAACAGACAAAGAGGAGAATCAAAGAAGATGAAAAGGAGGAGGAGGGAGGGAAGAGGAGGGGAAAGGAGACTGGGGTGGTGACGGCCAGCCTGAAGCGTCTGCCTGGGCTTTTCCCACCATTCTCCTTACTCCCTCTCCCTGGCCCCCAACACAGCGACCTGGCCAGCGACTCCCACGTCCCGAGGCTAAGGCTCACCCCCAGCAACACAAGGCACCTCAGACAGTGGCCAGGTCCACCCACCACGCCTTGGGCCCCGTGGACACTGCATTGTGGCTTCTTCAGAGGAAATCCTAGAACCCAGGACCACAGCCCTGCAGCATCCCTTCTAGAGGGCTCAACTGTTTCCTCTGCTCGTTCCTCTGCATTTGGACAACATTTAGGCTGAGAATAGGAAATACAGTGATTTATTTAGACAGGTACGCTTTCTGCTCATAAAAACTGCATGTCTAAAAATTTACAAAGGTAGTAAGTCTGCAAAATGAGGCACTCCTCACGTGACAGGGACCGATGGGATCAGCCCCACCCCATCTCTCCTGTCCTATACTTCTGGGTGAGGCAGCGCATCCACAGGATACTGATGAGCATTTTCCCAATCAAGGGTCAGAAGGCTCTGTGGATAGAAGGAGGTGAGGTCCCATGGAAGTCATTGGCACCTGGGAGTGGAGACCAGAATGGTGTGAGGTCTGTGGGCTTCCTGGGCAGGGACATGGCGTCATGGCCTCGGGTGGAGGGTGTGGGCTGATTTCCCACTTTACCTCCAGAGGTTTCTGTAGATCACGACATTCAGGTGACTGGCCATGTAAGAGGACTCCAGGCACTTGGATGTGTTTGGAGGTTCTCAGCTAGGCTTCAGGGCTGAAATGTGTGGTCCCTATTGGACAGGAGGCGCTGGGAAGGGAGGGGAGGGTGCTTTGGGGTGTCTCCAAGTGGACAGACTGAACGTGGTGCTGGGACCTACCCTCCACTCAGCTCTCCCACTCCTGCCTAGAGAATTCTCAGAAAGTCCAGCTTAACTTAAACTTCCAGATGTTTCCATGGAAAGTAGAAGTGGCCAGTTCATTGAAATAAATACCCCAAGTGCCAAGTAACTTTGGCTGAGGTTGGATGTTGCATCCTAGGAAATAGGCCTTTCCCTGATGGGGGAAGAGATAACACCAATCTTCACTGAATGGCACCAAGGGGATAGTCTTGCGGGGTCTTCACGGTCCCGACATTGCTCAAGACCTATGGACTGTCCTCAATGTCAGTGACCAAGGCCGAGTTACCCTACAACCCATCCTTTCCAACACCAGGCTAAAAATTCACATGGTTAATGTTCTCTTAAAAACACACACACTCAAAGGGTGTTTCTGCCTTAAATTATGCCAAGATGAGTTTTATTTAACTGTCATCTATTTGTAGCAGCCAGAGCAATGATTAAATGGGTTAGCATTCATTAAGCTGGAACACTGCCAAGACTCAGGAACTCTTTGCTGGCTGGTAGACAGGCAGGTCTCCCCGGCCTAAGTGCCCATGGCCTCTTCCAAATAGAGCTCTTCATCATGGGGTAAAATTACATTACTGCAAGAACTCCAAGGTCAAGGGGTCAACAGCAAGGGAAATGGGGGGCAGAAAGACCGTTCTAAGGAGAGTTGTTGCCTCCTACAGGATGAGCACAGCAGGTATGGCCTCCCTGCTGTCACTTTTGACTTTCCTTTGGAAGGCGGGGCAGCACGTGAATATAGGCCCCACCACATCTGTGACACAGGGAACCAATAGGGCAGCCAGGCCCCACCTGGCTGTATGGGAACATGTCTGCACATGTATACACATAGCTGCATGCACATGTCTATATAAATTACAGACAAATACACACCCACACTTAGACATGAACATGTGTGTGCATGCATATACATGTGTATGCAGTGCATCACATGTCACATATGCACGTTTATAAATACACAGCTTGCACGTTCTTGTGCACACGTGTGTGCATAAACTCACATGGGTATAAGCACACAAATTCTTGTGCACGCCCACCCACATCCCATACAACCATGTGCGCGCACACAAATGCCTGTGTGCACATATGTGTATGCATGTGTGCTAACATGTATGTGCGTGCAAATTATATAGACCAGCGCATAAAGGCACCCGTATGCATGCTCATGTGTGCACATATAACTTATACGCATACACATGTATATGTGCATACACATGTGCACACCTGTGTGTGTACACACTCTCTCACCCATGTGCACACTCACATGCTCACACATGTGTATGAACGTGCACATGTGCAGCCATGGACATGGTGTTCAGGACTTCAGGTCTCCATTCATAGAGGCTGTGGACTGGGTGCTGATCAGCTGCTGGTTTTCTCCCCTCTGGCAGTAGTTCCTGATGAGCTTGTAGATGGCAAAGCAGGGGATAGTAAGGCTGGGCACACCAGCAATGAGGAGCACCACAGCATACACCCAGTCTGGGTATGAGACCTGCTGGGACTTGGGGAATTCCTCCTAGGGAGAGAGCAACCACAGGTTCAGCAGACACAAAGACAGCCAGTGGGGTCTCCTTTGGGGGCACAGTGCCCACTTCTCCCCAAGATTTTCACATCCTTGCCCCTGTGGAGGAGGAGAGGGAGACCCAAGGCTCCTCCACCCCTACATACCTCCTCAAGAGAAATATGATCCCCTCCATTCCCCTACCTCCTCTGCCCTCCATGGGTCCCTATTTCTTATGCCCCTCCCACCTTCCCCACCTCCTCCAGCCCCTCAGGTAGTCCCCACCTCCGCCATCCCCATATGCCTCCTAACAGGGAACATGACCCCCACCCCCAACCCAGTGGCCCCTTTATGCTCACATAGGAAGGGTTCCAGACGGTGTACATCAGCTCCTCATTGACCTTGACCACGAAGAAGAACAAGAAGATGGTCAGCATGAGCAGTGGGCTGACCACTCTCCATGTGATTTGCCAGAAGATGTTGGGCTTGTGGCCGATCATAAATTCAATGTCCTTGTTAAACCTGGAGCAGAAGCCAATAGGGAGCCATCAACTGGTTGATATCAGAAGCCTTTAATCCCAGCAAAGCACAGGATGGGCCAGCCTTTCCACCCTGGACACATGGCTGCCACCCTGAAGTGCTGCCTCTGGCCTTGCCCCCATCACAGTGGTGGCCTTCCTGCCAGACAAAGACTCGCTTCCCTCGGGAAGCCTCTGGGCACAGTGGGGGCCTCTCTGGAGGCCTCTGGAGACAGAGCAAACCACAGCCTGGTGCTCCAACCTGTGAACATGCCTCAGGCAATGATTTATGCAAACAGGAGTCAATGCCTCTGGGGGAATGCAGAAAGGAAACCTCAGTCTGCTTAGTAGGGCAATGACCCTGACCTTGAAGGCCCCACTATCTCCTGCCCATCCTATGCTGAACTCTGTTCTACATAAATGAATTTATTATTGTAGAAATTAGAACAGAGTGGGCCGGATGTAAATGTGAACAGTCCAGGCCTACCGATGATATGTAGGGCACTTCCAGAAAAACAGAGATGCCTAAGCCTTGTATCCAGCAGGGCCTGGGAACTTGGTGGCAAGTCTCTTGCGCTTGGTGCTACTCCTGGCTCTCCACCTCCTGCTCAATGGCCTCCTTAAGGCAGTGTTACATAGGACCCCCAGCAGCAAGTGTCTGGCTTCAAACTGTCTTTGGGCCATTTACAGGTGGACGCACACTCATTAGGACCTTAACACCTGCCTCACACCCAGCAGCAGGCATTTACACCTAAGCCTTCTTCCCCAGCATGTGCTGGGGGAGAAGTGAGTGAGTCCACCCACATACTCCTCAGTCGCTTGGAGGCGGCCACCCCAGCTGTGTGCACTGTGGCTCGGATTGGCCTCCTGTTCGTGTGCCCTTACACACGCGTGTCTTGGTGATCCAGAACAGGACTTGCACAGTGAGATTCGTCCCTCCCCACTGCCGGCCCAGTGGCTCATGCATGTCACGTGAGTAGATGCCGACAGTTACTTCTAAAGTTGTGAGACCAGCTTCTGTCAGAGACCTGGTGTCATTTTCTGGATTTCCTTCTCCATGATGATGGTGTGACGCCCTGAGTACTTCACCAAGGGGATGGCCGAAAGGGCCATCCTGCCCCTTTCTCTGTCTGAGTCTCTGTCTGCCTGCATCGCTCTCTCTCCCCATAAAGAGGCCCAGAGCATGCCCACCAGAGTGGCTTCCCTAGCCATGGACCCCCAGTTAACATAAAACACCCAGCTCCTTCCCCCTGGTCCCGCAGGGAGGCCCCCTTACCCACAGCTAATGTCCCTATCCTGTCACTCCCCCACTCTCAAGTCCCCTGCCTGCTCCCCAGCCCCTGGAGGCTGCTTCTGGGCCCCACAGGACACAGACCACCCTTCTGAGTTTTCTGGTCCCTCTGGTCACATCTCATCTGCCGAGGGCTTCTGGTGTACCAGTGCTTCGCCTCCGTGCCATGCAACTGTTTCTCTAGCTAATCATGTGTCTTTTGACTTTGTTTATGACACTTTGGTTACAAATGTTTTTAAATCATCTGGTCAGATCAGAGGTGCCTGTACTTTTATTTGTGATTATGTGGTGCCCTACGGTCTGTGCTTAGCTTTCAGTGCTGGGTCTGGAAGCATCTGGAAGCAGGAGGGGATGCAGCTTCGACTGCTCTGGATGGACATCCTCTGGGATCCATCTCTTTTCCGCCCTCACCCATCCAGGTACCAGACTGGTGCCCACACCACATGGTCCCTCAGGCCTGTGTCCTATGCACTTGTCTTCTACCAAGTCTGGACCGGGGACAACTTACCCCAGGGCGGGAGTTTCCTAAGATTGTTGGAGACAGCCACATGCCTCAGCCTCCCTCCTACCTGTCCACGCCGTACACGTAGACCACAGAGAACATCTCGCAGAAGGCGATGATGAGCAGGGGGATGGAGCCGGCGTAGCTATCCATCAGGGAGAGCCAGTACTGGCCGGAGTTCAGTGTGAAGATGATCGCAATCAAATACGACCCCAAGCAGATGAGGCCTGGGGACAGAGAAAGGCCGCTGCAGACAGACCTCCCCACCTGCCCCTCGGCCATGGTTCCTGAGGCCTGTCCTTGCTGCCTGCCTGCCCAGCCCTGGCCTGAGTACCTGTAAGCACCTCCTTGGGCCACTTTTCAGGGATGACTCTGAGGTCCTGCAAGGGCACCATCACACCTTCCACGTTCCCAAACATGGAGGACAGGCCCAGGCAGAAGAGCATGATGAAGAAGAGCACAGACCACAGTGGGGACACCGGCATCTTGGTGATGGCTTCTGTGAAGACAATGAACGCCAGCCCCGTGCCCTCCACACCCTGCGTGGACAAGCAGACGGGTCACACACGCATGGCACATACTCCTCGTGTCCCCCTGGCCTCAGTCACGTTTCTCTCCTTCCCTGTCAACCCCTGGCCAGCTCTCCAGATGCCACACCCACACTATGATGGTATTGGGCTCATTTGAGCTATCCTGTGAAATAACCAGTCTTTATCTCTTTGGCCCAATTGTTTTCCAAAGCTGAACTATGTTTTATGAACAGGACAGGGATCATAATGTCCAGCAGCAGTCAGGGCCTTGAGCTGCCCACACAGACATGTGGCAGCTGTGGGGACTATCATCTATTCAGAGTTCTGAAGGACATCAACAGGGTCTATGTGAATCCCCTACACAGCTGCCCCGGTCATGTGGCCCATTGGTTCATTAGAGCCAGTTAGAGCTGGCCGCAGGGCAGCCTGTGACAGATGGGCTCTCGGGGTGCAGGCCCCAAGGCAGGGCAGGAAGGTCAGAGGCAGGCAGGCATGTGAGGACGGAGACAGGCTCGTGGGAACTGGGCCTCTGGGAGTTCAGTGTCCCCCAAGGGTGTCTTCTCCTCCCTTCCCTTGAGTCACTCCAAAGAGTCTCACCTCTGACAGGAAAGAGTTCATGTCGCAGGTCTGGAACTTCAGCTGGGCAAAGGCCACTGGGTCAGTGGCATTGCACCACCGCTGCATTTCCTCGAAGTTCTCCTGGGTGACATTGCCTTCGGGCAGGTCGAACCCGTTGATGAGCGTCAGGATGTTACTGGAAAGAGAGTGGGGTTGATACCAGCCCTGGGCAGTACAGGCCTGGCGGGCTCCCTAGAGGTGGACACTCACTCGCTGAAGCAGTCGTCAAAACGCTCTGTGGCGCGGAAGCCAATGATGGAGTAGACCACGGTGGCTGCGTACACAGATGTGAAGCCGTTGATGATGGACACGATCACTGAGTCCATCTCACAGTTGTTGCTGCAGAAGAGAGCGGTAGTCACTGCAGGCTGGGGATGCCATGTCCACCTACCCGGCCACATCAGCACAGGCAAGGAGCTGGCCCTGAGCCTCAACTGCTGGGGTACAGTGGAAGAGGGGACACAGCCCACCCACCTGTCCTTCCCCAAGTACACCCAGCAAGAGGTGACCAGAAGGCCATGCCCAAGCCCTGCACCGGCAGCCAGTGGTCCGTCATTCCTGCTCTTCTTACCACTTCACAATGCCACCTGCACTGCAATTTGGTGGCCTGGAGACCCCTGAAAGCTGTGGGGACCTCTAGAGCAGCCTTCAACCCCCAAACCTGGGACAGGAGAACCTTGTGTGACAATTCCAGCTCAGCCAGCTGCTGCTTCGGGCCCAGGAGGCAAGCACTCGATAAGCACTCAGCCTCACTGCCCACACCCCGCAGGCCCCGCAGAGGTAGCCCAGGCCATACCTTCTACACCTACCCTGCCACGCCCCTCCCTTCCTCCCTCCTGTGTCCCCTACCCCACCGAACCCCCATCTGCCCTCCCCTGGTTCTCCAGGTCCCGTCTCCACCCAGCTGAGGGTTCCCCATCATCAGCTCAGTGTTTCCAGACCACAACTCCTGACCTCCCCAACCAGACCCAGCAGCTCTCCCACTGGCTCCACTGCTGATGCTAATACCATCCTTCCAGATGCTTCCAACAGAAGCCTAGTCCCCCAGCTCTTGGGGAAACACAAATCAAAATACAGTGAGACACCACATCCCACCCACCAGGATGGCCAGAATTAAAAGTCCAGATAATAACAAGGGTCAGCACGGAGGTGGAGAAATCAGGCCCCACCACCACCCTGCCTGGCCCCCACCCTCTCAGAGCATCCCCCCATGGCCAGCAGCCAGCAGGCATCCCACTCACCCACTCCCTGAGTCTTTGTTCACATCACACCTTTTGCCTGTGAGCCCACCCCAATCAAGGACGCCAGCCTGGCCCCATGCCCCTCCAGGGACCCCTCTTCCTGCTCATTCCATTTGTCTCTCTGCCAGACCACAGCAACGGGTCCTAGCAGGACAGAAATTCATGCATCAGGCAGGGCACACAGTAGGTCTTCCACTGGTGCTTGTGGAGATGAACTGATAACAACCGCATTCCTCTGAAGATCCCTAGGGACCCTTTCTGCATGAATGTTGGTCTGGGGAGGGTTGTGGTGGCCAGGCATCTGGTGTCCTGGATGCTGAGGGGCCACCAGAGAGTGGGTGAGGGGATGGACGAGAGCATACTGGGGCTCCTCATTCTCAGGACCAAGGCACATGGAGAGGACAGTCATAAACAGGCCTCACTTGAGGCACCTAGTGTTTGAAAATCTCCCAGAGCCTCAGCCTGCCTCCCCAGCACGAAGTCCCATGGATCCCATGATTTGCTGGGGGCGCCAACAAGCCCAGACCACTGGTCACTCACTGGACAGAGTTGTAGCTGGAGAAGGACATGAGGCCCCCGAAGGCCAAAGAGAAGGAGTAGAAGACCTGGGCCCCTGCATCCAGCCAAGTCACCGGGTTGGCCAACTCCGTGATCTGTAACCAAGTAGAGACCCTCAGCCAGGCACCCCAAGGATGAAGAATCACAGGAAACCAAGGGAATAGTGGCCCGAGGGAGCGGTGTGAGCCTGGAGGCCGGCAACAGCCGAGGCCGCTGGGCAGGTGCTGGCCGATGACTTGGAGACGGCTGCCCTCAATCCACACAGAGCCCCACTCGAGCTCTCAGGCAGCCCCCCCTCACAGGTCCAGCCCACACATATCAAAGGGGCTTGGGACTGGCCAGGGCTGGTATAAGGTGGGCAGGCCTGTCCCCCAGGGTGGCCTCTGCCATAGGAGCTGGAGGCCTGGGGTGGACAGCAGGACACTCACATTGGGCGTGAAGAGGAAGACAATACCATTGGTGGCTCCCTTCAGTGTAAGGCCCCGAATGAGGAAGATGGTCAGGACGACATAGGGCAGCGTCGAGGTGATGTACACAGCCTGGGGAAGGGCAGAAATGGGATGAAGGGGGACGCAGTGCTCACAAAGAGGAAAAAGGTCATGCGGGACCCCAGCTCCACTCCCCTGGGTACCCCACTGCCCCCGCTCCCAGGGCAGGGAGAGGAGACATCTCCTATTCTGTTTGTATTGAGGACTATTCCACTCCCTCCGGGTCAGAGAGATACTGTGGGTCACTCTTGCTGCTGCTTTTTAAGCACAGGTTTGAGAACCATCCAGGCCAGCACCACATCTCCTCCCAAAACAACAGACATGGGGCAGTGACCCACAGAGCTGGCGAAGGGGCAGCCCCCTCCTGCTTGCCCCTGTGAGTGAGCTCCTGAAGCCCAGCCCACACCTTGCCGGTGGTCTCGATGCCACGGATGGTGCACACGTAGAGGACACTCCAGGCACAGGTCAGGCAGAGCAGGATCCACCACTGCACAGAGCCAGAGTCACTGATGGAGGTAGAGATGTTGAGCGTCTCCCGGTACCAGTAGTAGTCCACAGCTGAGCTGCGGGTGCACTCCTCCACATAGTCTGCAGGGGGCACTCACACCCATCAGCATGGGTCATAGAAAGGGAAGCGAGGGGGGGCAGCGAGGAGCAGGGCAGTGTCACCAGAAACCAGGCTGTGCTCCCAACAGACCAACGCCAGGGAGGTAGCATGCATAGAGAGGCAAGTGCACTCCCAATGTGTGTGCACACACGAGCACACCTACATGTGTTTGCGTGTGCACACATGTGTGCACACTCACAAGACACATATGCACACGTGGGCATCCCTGGATGCAAACATGTACACTTGTGCATATATTTGTGCACATAGAAGTGTGAGCACATCGGACATGCATGCGCACACACAGCTGTACATTGGCCACTCCCTGCCTATTGGATTCGTGTCTGCATCCTGATGCAGATGTGTGCAAGCTGCCAAGCTGAGCACACGGCCCATGACCCTGCAGGTTCCAGGCAGAGGGTCTGTTCCCCACTCTCCCTCTCTGGAAGGGGCCCAGAAAGACCGGGTGGTGAGTGAGGGGCATGAGACTGCAGAGAGGAAGGCCCTGGGGAATGCAGTGGGAAGGGACAGTGGAGGGTCAGGCCACCACTCGGTGTGATGTCAGGGAGCAGTGGGTCTCTATGACGCCCCGTGGCATCCTCCCACCTTCCCTTCATTCCGACCTTCGCTGGCACCACTCACCAGTCCTCTTGAGGTGGAAGCACCTTTCTAAAGGGTTTTTCTCTGGCGGAGTGATTTTTTAAAATTCTGTTATGGTAGATGTGCTCTGATTTTTGACAAACCTGGCCCACAGCCAGTTGAACTTGGGGAAATCAGAAGGTGACTACTTATGGATTCTGCACGTTCAAAGGTGCCCATGGCTCTCAAACAGCCAGCCGTCCTGGCCCCTGCCCTCCAGCCCTGCCCTGCCCGGGCTCACCTGTCCGATTGTCGTTGAGTGGGCACGAGCTCCAAGGCAGGGGCTCCTGGAAGGAGTTGAAGAAGTACCACATGACCCAGGCGATGATGGTGTTGTAGTAGAGGCCCACCATGAAGGACACAAGCATGGATGCAATCCCTGGAGAGCAATGGACACTGCTGGGGGCACCTCTGGGAGGCGCTGCGGGTGGAGGCACCCCTGGGTGAATGGGACACTGGGAGCAGGAGGGGGCAGTGCTGGGGGACCCCCCTTGAGGACTGAGTGTGAGTAGACTCAGCGTTCCAGAGAACAGGAGGGTGGTCCCTGAGGCGCTTGTTGAGCTCTGCTGTGGGAGGCAATGGGGGACTCAGCTGTCTCCACATCTACGTACTCCCAGGTCCGGGCACTCAGGGACTCAGAATAGCCTCTGCTGCCCTGCTGGTCTCTGTCGACCGGGAGTGGCCCCATCCTGGACCTTGCCACTGACTTCTGTGAGATGCCAAGGGAGGGCTTGCAGACGGCTGGGGGCAGCGAGCCCTCGGGAAACAGAGGCAAAAGGAGAGAAGGAAGGAGCGCGCTTGCTGCCCACACTGGACTCGAGCAGGGGTGCCACAGTCATGGCCCGACACGCACCTACACCTTTCAGGGCTGGGTGGATGGAGCTCCAGATGCCCACGCTGCCCTTGCGCAGTCGCTGCCCGATGGCGAACTCTAGGTGCAGCAAAGGGACGCCCTCCACAATCAGCAAGATGAGGAACGGGATCATGAACGCTCCTAGTCAGAAACAGGCAGCAGTGTGTCAGGTAGCGCACGCCAGACGACAAAAGGCCCCTCTGGAGACACAGGCTCTGGTAGAAAGTTCCTGCGGAACTTGCTCACGAATACAAACTTAGGATACCAGCATCAACAGCACGCCACTCAAGATGGCCACTGGGACTGCTTTATGGGGGACGCTTCATGTCCCCTCATGAGAGCAGCCAACTTGCCTGCTGTTCCCCCAGGACTGTGCTTGTCCAAGAGGGTGAGCGCACGGCAGCTCCTGGGGAACTGACAAAGGTACCCACGTGTTGAACAGAACACAGGGAGTCCACGGACCATGCATGGTGAGGCCCTTCTGGGGCTCAAAATCCAACCAGGTAGGCACGGACGGCACACAGAAACTTCACTCAAAGGTGACAGTCAGCTCGACGTGACAATGAGATGAAAAGCAGACAGCAGTGACGACCCCTAGCTGGAGCTCCCATGGGAAGGGAGTGGGGGGCTACCCCAGGTCTGGAGTACCGCGGGGTCTGCAGGCTCGTGGGCAGGGATGACTCACTGGGTCACGCTGCTGGTGAGGACAAAGTTAAAATACGACAAGAGTCGCCTCTCTCATCTCCCAGGAGCGTGATGTGAAAATCTTCCGGGCAAAACTAGCAGGAAAAAAAAACAAGTCTGTGGTCCCCAAATGTTCTTGGACATTTGGGATGGGTCCCAACCTCAGGACATCGCTTTTACCCGCAGGTCCTGCTGCCCCTCTGTCTCCACCAGGGAACTCCTATTCCCGCTAAAAACCCCACTTGGTAGCCACTCCTCCAGGAAGCCTCTGCTGCCTGTGCTCCTGGCAGCCCTCCCTCCTGCAAGCTCCCCCAGGTGTAACATGCGCCTGACAGGCGTCCTGTCTGTAGGTGCCCGTGGTCAGGTGCCCTTGCACACCGATGGACACACATACGGAGGCAGAGATGCGGTGGGCCCTGGCCAGGTATAAAGGTCTTGCACGAGAAAGATGTAGGAAACAGGTGGGGGAGAGGTGGGGAGACATGGGCTGGGGAGGGGCAGCGGCCGTCTTCAAGGGCAAGGTCTGAGCCTTCCCCACATCTCTCTCTCCTGCAGGCAATGTGTGTGGCACAGAGCAGAAACTAGAGGAATATTTGCTGACTCGATGGGTGCCGGGCCAGCACCGGTGGAGGAAGGCAGGGCCCCCACGGCCCCCCGCCCCACACACCATCTCTCCTACGTGTTCTGTCACTAAGAAAGTGTATGGGGTGAGTCGGGGTGACATCACTGGGGACAGAGTGGGTATTGCACTCGCGTGGACAATGGAACGCAGCCGTTCGTCACTGGCCCCGGGGGGTGGGTGGGTCCTGACTCTGACGGCACCTCTTGGCTTCAGCCTCCCGCCCACACGCCCCACTTCTTGGTTTTCAAAGCTGGACAAACAGCCAGCTTTTGGTGCGGCCCTGGGGTCAGACTCCTGTTCCTGTCCCTGTCACAGGCGGGAACTGGGGACCCAGAGGGTGCGAGGGAGAGTGTGGTGGGGCCAGGACACAGACTGCTGTCAGCTCAACTCAGGGACAATTTCGAAACTTTTGAAATACCTCTCTTCAGGAAAAGGGCCCACGAGCCCCCTGCCCCAGCGCCCGCATGCGAGTTGTGGGTCCCCAAGCCCCTCTTGTGGCTCCCCGAGGCTGAGTGAGGAGAGCTGCTCGCCCTTGCCCAGAGCCACCCCTGCCCCCCATAGTCCAGACATGGTCCAGGCTGACCGTTGTGTCTCCGTGTGGTGGCAAGACGGACTCTGGCAGAGGCTACTACATCTTGCTGCTTGCTGGTGGCAGACACACGAGACCAAGAAAAGGAACCCAACAAAGGCAGGGCAGCTGAGGTGCTACAGGCAGAGGACACAGCCCACCTGGTGCCTCAGTTACCCGCTACTCTGGTCACAGACGTGCCCCCATCAGAGATCTAGAAGGCAGGCCTCCTCGTGGTTTCCGCGTCACGCAGTACACGGGGCCTTTGCATGTGCCCGTGCACTCCCACCCGCCGCCGTCCCACCAAACTCAGCAAAGAGCTTCAGACGCCCGTCTACGTTGTGGGGAAGAGGTCTCCGCTGTCATTTCCTCTACTTTTCTGCATTCTATTTTTTTCATAATATAAAGTTAAACAAAGTAAATGGTGATTTGTTTTCCTTTTCAATTTACCCAAAACTCCTGGAAATAACTGAAGGCAAGCTAAGCTTTCACCAAAACAGGACTGGTCGCAGGAGTCCTCAGCTCTGTCATTGTCTCTCCCAGTTACAAAACCACACCCTCCCCTAGAGCTGGGGCCACAGCCATGGGAATTGCCAGCCCGAAGGAGTCACCTGCCACGCCTTGTCATTGTCTTCAGCAATTTTCTCCTGGGGTGGGAACCTTATCACTGTCCTCCACAATTGTTTCCTGGGCTTGAGGGTTATCACTGTCCTCAGTGAATGTCTCCTGGGCTTGGAGGACCAGGTACTCGGCTCCAGACCAGAGCCGAGGAGCAGTGAGAGGCCCTCCGGATGGGCGGGAACACACAGGAGGGGCAGGGCGTGGCCTGGAGGGGCAGCAGGTGAGCCACCAGAAGGGTCCTAAGAGGTGGGAGACGGGCAGTTGGACCTCCCTCCTTGCTTCTCTGAGCTGACAGACCTGGGACCCCTGGCTTCGCTGTCCACTTTTTAGGACCCAGGGGTGGTGGGGACATCTTCCTCTCACCCACTGTGCCTGGAGGCAATGTCCCCACACTGACCCTTGGACTCACAGGGGGTGTGGTTCACCCCCCAAACCCCCATTTCTGGGGGGTGAACCCTTCTCAATCCCAGAAACCCCTGCCCCCACCTGGCTTCAGCCCCTTCCCTTTGGAACTTAGTAAATGCTGCAGGTGTTGCCAGAACCTTGGCCCCAGGGCAGCTCTGGTGGGAGTCCAGGAGGTGACCAGGACCTTGCAGAGAGAGTCACTGACCCTCCTGCTGTGTGACCTCACGGGCTCCCAGGGGGGTCCCTTCACCCCTCCACTGGCATAGTGGTGACTGGGACAGGACCATCTGGAAAGCACAGCTGGACCTGAGGCAAAAAGACAGACCCTCCAGACACTCGGAAGCTTCGGTCTTTGGCCACGGAAGTGGGGGGCGGGTCACACAGGTGACTTGGAAACAACCCCATCTGATTTCTTTTCTGTCACAAAGCCTGGTGACAGCCTGCAGGTTCTTCAGAGTATGAACAAACTCACATCACTGAGAGCCCTTGCTCTTTCAAAGGAGGCTATTCTGACGCCCACAGAACCAGAAGCATCCTCTGAGCATCTAGCTGCTCTGCACAGCCTGTCACTCCAGTGAGTGCAGCACCTACCCAGACCTCCTCCCAGGTGACAAGCATGGCTCTGTGCCCCTTCCCGAGGCGCAGCTCCTGGCTGCCATCCCTGCCAGGGCTGGGGGCCCAGGGGAGACAGAAGCCACAGACACATAGAGGCAGATGGGACTACAAGTATGACCTCCATCCCTGCAACCTACAGGTGCCAGGAGGGTGGGTAGAAGGACGAGACCCTGGGGACTGAGACCCAGCAACCCCAGGGGAGTATCTGCAGCTGGGGGAGAGGGAGTGGCCTCAGCCCAGGGGAAGGAGACGCCCCTGGGCTACAGACAAGGTCCCTGGAGGCCTCTGGAGGCCGCAGGACGGGCTGAGGCCAGCATTACATGGGGAATACAGACTTTCCACCTCTTGCCAAGAACCCACCTGCCTGTTTCTCTGTGGATCACCCACTGCAGGCCCACCTCCCTCCTTTGTCTCTCAGGGAATGTGGAGCCCACCCGTGGGTTTAGAACTTAGCTCACTGCCCATACGGTGTTAGAAAGGAGGGCTGGCCTTGCTGCCCCTCGGGCCAGCACCTTCCCCGCTCAGACAAGGGGCTCCCTCCACAGGAGCAGCTGGCCCTTGTCTGTCCCCACTCCCAGATTAGACCTATTCGCAGCCCCTTGCCCTCCAAACTTCTCCCCTCTGTGAATGGGCTGCTGGGGTCCTGGGGGATATCACTGTTGTTTGCCCTCAAGCCCCAGCCTGCCCTCCTGCCCAACCTACCTCCGCCATGGCTCTGGCACAAGTACGGGAAGCGCCACACGTTGCCCAGGCCCACGCAGAAGCCCACGCAGGTGAGCATGTACTGGGCCTTGTTGTCCCACTTGGGCCGAGAGCCGGCCTCTTCCTTCTCCATGACCTCCAGCTGCTCCAGGGAGGGGATTCGGTCCTCCAGGCCCGGGTTGGGCAGCACAAGCTTCACCATGGTGGTCACAGGCAGATCCCTCTGGGCAGAACAGGACAGGAGCTGGAGGATGAGTGAACAAAGCCAGAGCCCCAGTACTTTATAGGGAACCTTTGGCACCTCACCCCAAGCACCTAGACCGAAAGGAAGCGTCAGCAGATCTGAAGGGCGAGTCCACAGGACTGTTAATGCCTTATCTTCAGAGGCCGGAGGTGCTGGCCGACCCTTTGAGGCTCTCAGCTGGCACTGGCCAGCCCCTCCCCCTGTGCAAACATAGAAGTCACGGGCACAGATGAGCCGCCCCCGCACCCACATGTGCTCAGACAGCCTGACTCCCAGGGGGCTCTTCTGGACGCTCCCTCTGGAAGCCTCACAGAGGAAGCCTGGAGTGGCAGGTACTGGACTGGCACCCACATTCCTAGAGCTCCAGCCTCCCTGAGTCCCAGCCTCATAGCCCTTAGAACCCCGAGGCCCCTTCCTGGGCTGGAAAACATGTTGTACATCCAACTCCATGGTGGATTTCCTGGGGAAAATTCAGATATGGGGCTTAGCAGAATGAAGGCCAGGTGCCCTGGGCCGGCAGGGCCTCAGAATCTTTGTGACAAGGATGAAGGGGGCTGCACCAAGGATCCAACTCAGTCAAGGTCCAGAGTCACTTGGGTCCTTTCGCACAGCCCTGGCTGGGGGTCTGGGTGGAGTGCTAAAGAGGCAGGCGGGCGGCTCCAGGATGGTGCCATGGGCTCATGGGGCTGCCAGCGGCCTCTGTGGCCTGAGCATTCTGAGATGCGGGGCCAGACTCTGGGTGCAGGGCGCACGTGAGAGGGGGGTGGAGAGAGAGATGGTGAGCAGGAGGCAGAGCAGGGGGTTCTCACAGTCTGGTGAGGGCACGGCATCCTGGGCCACTCCTGCTCGGAGCCCTCTACCTGCTTCTTCAAAGGGGAAAGGCCCAAAGGCCCATGGTGTTCCAGCTGGCCTGCTAGGGTCAGCAGCCCCCCTTTGGAGGCCCCTCCTTGCGCCCCAGGCCCACATCTGTTCCCCCTGCCTGGAGCCATCTTCCCATAGTGTCCACCAGCCCTCCTCACACTTTGCAGTCATGCCAGAGATGCCACTGATCTCTGCCTGCCCTTCCAACAGGCTGCAGGTGACTCAGTTACCTGGCTGATTGCTTATGGTTTCTCTTTCTCAATGGGATGTGAGAGCCACAGGGGAGCTCCACCTCCCATTTGTTCACTGGCGACGCCCCTGGGACAGCATCTGATGGATTCCTCAGAAAAACCCAGTTGATATGGACTCGGTGACGGTTCCTGCAGCCGGAGCCTGGCTGTGCCCTCCCCAGATGATCAGTCCAGGCAGGCAGGAAACAGACCCCTCTTTTCTGAAGAGGAGAGACCGGGACATGATGTGACCAGGACTGCCCACCAGCCAGAGCTGGGCCGCAGTAGAGACTGCTTCCCAAAACCCCATCAGAAACTGATAGCAATCGAGGCCCTCCTTCTGCACTGAAACACTCCAGACGCTGTTCCGCACAGGCTTGGTCCTGACCTGGTCATGCATGTGAGGAATCGTCCCGTATCTGGGCTGGGTCACATACCCTTGTCCTGTCCACCCTGCCCTGTTCTTTACAATTCTGTGGCTCATGCCAAGTGGTGTAGAGGATGGCCACCTAAGATGTGCCATCCATGTAAGTTCCCCTTAATAAACTCTGTTAGTTGCCAAGCTGAAGAGGCAAATAGGGCAAATTGTGAAAAGTTACATTTGTCCACGGTAAAGACAGAGAGGGGGTCTGATGCTGAGGATCTTCTCAGAGGGGCCCATTCATCTAAGGACATTCCCCTCCTCCTCGTCCCACAAGCCTGAGGCCATCTCTTCTCACCCACACCCTCATACCCTGTCTCTTCAGCCATGTCTGCCGTGACAACATTTTGCTGCAAAAGAAAAACATGCTTGCTAAAGAAAAGTAGAGTCTTTCAACTACCACCTGTGGGTAAACACAGCTGTCCCATTGTTCTGCAGTTTTATAAATATGTATGCGTGTGTGCGCAGGGCCCCAGGGCGACCTGTCACAGCTCACTTTTCCATTGCTTCGGGACAGCATCCAGTGCGTGCCATTATCCTGAAAACCACTGCGAAGCCCGTTCCTGTCTCAGGCACACTCTTGTCTGTATCCCCAGTGGCGCCGTTTTGCCCTCTGTGTGCACATGCGCAACTTGAAAGGATGCTGCCATGGCCTGAGAGGGGGGGTGAGCCAGTGACCCAGCATCCCTGGGAGGCCCTATGCCTTCGCCAGCTCAGTGGCCTTGCCTGATTTATGTTGTGGCCATTGTGCCAGTGCTAAATAACTACCCCGTGGGGGGGGGGGGTGTTATCATTTTTAAGATTTTATTTATTCCTTTTAGAAAGAGAGGGAGAGAAACATCTATGTGCGAGAGATACATCAATCAGTTACCTCTCTCGTGCCCCCAACTGGGGACTTGGCCCACACGCCGGGCATGTACCCTGACCAGGGATCAAACCAGCAAGCAACCTTTCAGTTCACAGGCTGGCCGGTGCTCAGTCTACTGAGCCACACCAACCAGGGCCGTCGTGTGGTTTTTAACTTGCATTTCTCCAATGGCCTGTGCCGTGCGGCTTCATCCGTGAACTGACCAGTCATCGTGATCCTCCTATTTAAATGTCCTTTTCTATTGGGATGCTGACCCTTTCTATTAATTTTGAGGACACTTTACTACATTCTGGGATACGGCTTGGCCACCAGCCTTCGCAAGGGTCAGCCTTCCCAAACCCTCAACAGTGCCTTGGATGAACACAAGCTCTCATCACACTGTTGTCCGATCACTGACCCCTTAAAAAAAATCTGCCTACTTCAAAGTCATGAAGATACCCTCACAGATTTTATTCTAGAAGTTTTATGGGCTGGCCTTAGATGTTTCAGTCAACAGCCCACCTGGAACTCTTTGGGATTTGTCTGTGTGTGCTGTAGGAGGGAGCAGTCAAGATTCCTTTTTTCCCCGATATCCAAATGACCCGGCACTGCTTGCTCACAACCTCACCCTCTCTCCCTCTCTCTGCAAAACTGCTTTAGTTGTGGATCTGGTGTTCAAGTCTGTGTGGCCTTTCTCTTCCCTTTTCACTCTGCTCCATTGGTCTTGGTGCTCACCTGCTGTCCTGGGCATGCAGTCTTCCTCCCTGTGGCTTTAGGCCAGGTCTTAACAGCTGATGTTCTTCCAACTGTGTTCTTCCTAAAGAATGTAAAGGTTTCGGCCCTGGCTGGTGTGGCTTAGTGTATCGAGCACAGGCCTACAAACTAAAGGGTCACTGGTTCAATTCCCAGTCAGGGCACGTGCCTGGGTTGTGGGCCAGGTCCCCATTTTGGGGGGGGCACATGAGAGGCAACCACACACTGATATTTCTCTCCCTCCTTCTCCCTCCCTTCTCCTCTCTCTAAAAATAAATAAATAAAATCTTTTTTTTAAATAAAAAGAATGTAAACATTTCAGAACAAACTTGTAGGTTTGACAGAAAACTTGCTGGGATTTTGCTTGAAGTGCACTAAATCTATAGGTTTATAGATTAATTGAAATGGAATCTTAACCATATTGTTTTTCAAACCACAAACTAATGTGTTCCTCCATTAACAATGCCTTCTTTCCCCAATAATGTTTTGTAGATTTTTTGCATGGAGGTCTTGAAGATCTTCCATTAGATTTATTGTTAGGTATTTGGTTATTTTTATGTGATCATGAATGGTATTTTTAAAAATATATCTATTTTCTAATTGTGTATTGCTGATATATATAGAATGTAATTTATCTTTGTATATAGACTTTATATTAAAGTTCTTTTTAAACTTTTTTTAAACATTGACTTTTACATAATTTTCAATACAAAATTATGCCAACTGAAAATGACAGTTTTATTTCACTCACCCCCATCCTTTGACGTCTTTTTCTGTTTTGATTTTTGGTTGTTTTTTTTTTACCTCATTACATTGTGTCCAGAACAACAGTGGACAAACCAGTCACCAGGAGGCATTCTGGCCCCCTTCCCATCTCGTCAACAGCCTCTGCTGTTTCACCATGGAACTATTGACCCGGTGGCTATTTTAGTACCAACTCTTGTCAGAATAAAATAGTCCCTTCTATTCTCCATATACTAAGAGATTCCCTTATTTTTTGTTGCAGATTTGTTGAGGTAGAATGATCATAATACACAAATGGCTCCCTTTCTAGTGTATTCACAGCATTGTGCGGCGTCACCACGATCCACCCTGCAGTGTCTTGTCACCTCCAGGAGACACCTGCACCCTTCAGCCATCACCGACCCCATCCTGGAGGGTCTTCTTTTATTATGAATGGGTGATGAATGTCATGAAATGGTTTTCCACATTTTTGAAATGATTATTAATAGTGTGTACTCCTTTATTTTCTCAATGTGGTGCTTACGGCTAGATTTTTCAATATGAAACAACCTTACATTCCTGGAATAATCCCAAATTGGCCATGATGCATAATTTATGCACTGTTGGGTTCAATTTGCCACCGACAGTTGCAGAGTTTTCATACCTGTGTTCCCGGACCCCGGGAGCCAGCCCACGTGCCCCAGGACTGGCACAGGTGGCTCGCTCTGAGGGACTTGGAGGTCACACATGCTCTCTGGGAGCACTGAGCTACACCCCCACCAACAGAAAGCAAGGGTAGTCCATTCCCTGCACTTCCTGCACCAGGGATATTATTATTTTAAAATCTTTGCCATCTCATAAGTTCTAAAACATGTAGCTTGAACCGGAGAGCTCATCCAAGCCCTTGGGAAGAGGATGTGGTTTTTAATCCACTTCGTGTTTGTCTCACACTTTATTTCAATGGGCCCACGTGCAGCTCCAGACTCTTACACACTAGTGTTAGAGGAGGACACCCACCCCTCAAATCAATGAGAAATTTGTGCAGAAGGATGACTTCTGACATCTTCCTGTGCTGGGCCAGAAGCCAAGTGAGAGGGCCTTGCTCGTGGGAACGTGCCCTGGACAGGACCTGCTAAAGGACAGGACAACATACCCTGGCTGCGTAGGTCAGTTGGTTAGAGGGTCGTCCTGATGCGCTAAGGTTGCGGGTCCAATCCCTCCCTGGTCAGGGCACATACAAGAAGCAACTAATGAATGTGTAA